CTGCTCCCCTCAGCAGTGAATTTCAGTCAGTCTGCCTGTTCTGTTTCCCACTCTGTCTCTGGTGGATCCTCTGACCTCCCACACATCTGGCCTGAACCCCACTCTTGTGTGCATAAATAAATAAATCTTTAAAAACAAAAAAGATTGATCCAGTAATTGTTTAGTGAAGTTTACTCTAGAAAGTTCTCTGTCCAAAATGAATCAGTGTTAGTGTAATTTGGATTTAATGTTTTGATTCAGATCTTCCTAGCAGGTGAAAGTATCCTTTGAATCCAATATCTTGTCCAAATAGCAAGGTCCATGCGCTCCCTCCTGTGATGCCACAGCTGCCTCCTCCTGTCTTGTGCGAACAGGACCAAGGCAAGAAGCTGCCTTCTGAGGCAGGCTGAAGAAAGGCAAAGCAGGCAGATTCTCTGTCACCTAAGGGTCCCAAGCTGAGTACAATGGGGTGGGAGGGAGCCGCAGTGGCCAGTCTCCGCAGCTGTTTCAGGAGCTGACACTATGGGACATTGTCAGAACCGTTCTGACAGACAGGGTCAGGGTTATTTTAAGGAACTCACCTCTAAGACATTACAACTGTGAGGCTTTCTAGTGTTTCACAGATGTGGATGCAGCCACACCACGAGGAAGCAATTTGCTCAAGGTCACACACTAGTGATCAGTGGAAAGTAATATACAAATATGCATACACATGAAATTTCCATGGAATTTCCTGGGTTCACAGATTGCAAGCTAACTCCCCTGTTCCCTGTGCTGATGGAAACATACTGGTTTTCCTGTCCAGACCTTCTATCTGAGCTTCTACCCTGGATTATACTGGCTACTGCAAACTCATAAAAATCTCCCAAGTGCAAGGTAACCAAAACCCAAACTTAAATTTTTCCTCCTAAATCTGTTCCATGTCCCATATTCCCTACTAGGGATTCAAACCCTCATTCACCCAAGTCTGAGAACTACCTTCAACCGGAACCAGTGGCTCTGACACTAGGTGTGTGTCAGAATACACTGTGGGGGGTTTTCAATATACAGAGGCTGGCCTCTGATTCAGCGCCTCTGGGAGTGGGTCCAGCCTGGAGTCTGAAGGGTACCTGAGAACTCCCTATTTAAGGGAGGAAGGGAGACTAGAAGAGCATCCCCAGGCAGTCAGCAAACTACAGGGCCCAACAAGTTTTGCATCTTCAGCACAAGTGATGTTGCTTCCCTGCCCTAGGAGAAGGAAGAATATCTTTCTCCCAACCTCACTCCAGTCACCTGTGGCTTCTGCCCACAGACTTCATTTATTTTGAACTAGTTCTTAATTAAACATGATACCAAAATCGCAGGTTAAAAAAATCAGAGACAAGGGGCCTCCCTGGTGGCGCAGGTGGTTGAGCGCAGCATTGTGAAGCTGTCCACAGCCTCTGCAGTGCCAATTCGATCCTCACTGGCTGCGGATATGCCCACATGGCATGGCAGACCTCTCCTGTCTCACCCGCTGCGCCCCTCAGCAGTGTATTTCAGTCAGTCTGCCTGTTCTGTGTCCCGCTCTGTCTCTGGTGAATCCTCTCACCCTCCCGCACATCTGGCCTGTACCCTGGTTCTTGTATAAATAAATAAAATCTTTTAAAAATTTTTAAAAATCAGAGGCAAGTTCTCCTCCCAGGGTCATTTCTAGATATACCTTCGTGGCAGCCTCCTTGCTAGTCTGCCACCCCGAGTCTGACCTCCTCCTTCAGTCCTTTCCTCTACAACCTGAGTGAAAACTCTGAAAGCAAATCTGCTGATGTCATTTCCTGCCTAAACCAGCGCTGTGGCCCCTCCTGACTCCCAGGCTAAAGTGCAGACCCTAAACAAAACACACCGGGCCCGCCCTACCTGGGTCTGTCTCCTGCCTACTTCTAGCAGGTCTAGCCCACTACCACTCACACAGTTTAACACACAGCCACAATGGCTGCTCACTAAGCTGCTCATAGTCCTTCTGCCTAGATTCATCGTCCCTTTGGGAAGCTTTCTTGGGCCATACCTGGATGGAACCCAGAACCCCTTCTGCTTATCTCTAGCTCTAAACTAACCACAGTTGATTTTTGATAAAGATACCAGGAAAATTAATATACATAAACCCTATTTAAGGGAGGTTGGGAGACTAGAAGAGCATTCCCAGGCACCTGCAATAAGCAAACTACAGGGCCCAACAAGCTTTGCATCTTCAGCACAAGTGATGTTGCTTCCCTGCCCCAGAAGAAGGAAAAAGGAGGTGCCTTTTTGCCCAGTAAAAAGTTATATAAGGGGACCCTGGATTTTGTTCTAGGCAAATCCATTTGTGTTTTACCATGAGATTTCACTTCCCAAATTGCCTTTTTGTTGTTTTGAGAGTGAAATAACTGATTTTTGTTTGTTTGTTTGAAGATAAGGCTCGGTGAAACATGAGGCTCAGTGAAACGTTCACCCGCCAGGGGGCAGTGTAGTCCTGGGCCCGACATTGAATATTTTTCAATGCTAAGAAATGGAATATCTACGAGAGGGATTGGGGAGAGATTGAAACTTACCCTTACTCCATACCATACACAAAAATTCATTTAAATGTTATCATAGACCTAAACAAAAAGCTCAAAATATACAATTTTGGGAGGACATATTTGTAACCTCACCTTAAAGTAGGTAAAGATTTTTGAAGACATAAATTATGAACCATCAAGGGAAAAATTCGATTAAATGCTATTACATCTAATTGTAATGTTATTACAATTAGAAACTGACTCTTTGGAAAATGAGAAGATAAACTCAGACTACAATGGACTTTTGTGCATTGATGATAGTAGTATAAAATAGCCTAACCACTTTGAAAAACAATCTGACAACGTCCTATAAAGCTAAAAACACCATACAATCAAGCCATACCTACTACCTAGGTATCTTACCCAAGAGAAATGAAAACATATATCCACATGAAGACTTTTATAGGAATGTGAAAAGCAGTTTCATTCACAATATCTGAAAACCAGAAACAACCTAAATATCCAACAACCAAATTTCTTTGGGATCCTGAGAGTGCTCCCAGCTGGGCCTCACCCAGTTCACCCACCAATGTCAAATGGATAAAAAGCTGTGGTGTAGGCACACAGTGGAATATTACACACCAATGATAAGGAGGGAACTGTTGACACACGCACCACATGGATGACTCTCAAAAACACTGTGCTAAGTGAAAGAAGCCAGCATAAAAGACTGCATCCTGTGTAGTTCTATTTATATGAAATTCTAGGGAAATCAAAATATAGTAATAGAAATTAAATGCAGTTGTCTGAGGTCAGGAAAGTGGGGAGAGATAAAAGATGGACTGCAAAGGGGCAGAAGGGGCCTTTTTTATTTTAATTTTATTTTTATATTCCCCATATAATTGCAACTCCCTTCTTTTGACCCCAGTCCCTCCTTTCCCCGCCCCCCCCCATAGAGTGTCTCTTGTTCATAGTTGTTTGTTGATTTTGATATTTTCTTTCTTATAGTTATTCATTTTCCTGGTCCCTTATTTAAGTTTTCTAGATTCCTGCTATGAGTGAGACCATCCGGTATTTTTCTTTTTCTTTCTGGCTTATTTCGCTGAGCATGATCCAGAAAGGGCCTTTTTTTGAGAAATGGAAATGTGCTACGCCTGGAACGAGGGCTGATGGTTTATCCTGGTGTTTTCCACTCATGGTACTTAAAACTTCCGGCACACACTTTACATAAATAATATCTCAAAGTGCTCTTGTGCATGTGAGGGCTTCTGTGGAGCATGAAGGGAAACACAGGTGAAAGGCTGCTAATCAGGATCCTCCAAAAAGCACTCGACGTGGAAGGGCGGGAGATGCTTGCACACCCAGGGGGCCTCGCCCGTGAGGCGCGGGGACGCGTCCGCCCGCCAGGGGGCAGTGTCGCCCCGGCCCGACACCGCACGCCGGGGCCGCAGTCCCCGCGCCCGGGCCGCCCCCCCGAGGATCCCGGCGAGTCACGCGCCCCTCCCCGCAAGGCGCCCGGATCTCCGCCCTGGAGCCCCGATCGGGGGCGCCCACCCCGCGGGGGGACCAGGAAGGGGAAGGGCCTCCCGTGTGGCGCCCAGCGCGGATGCGGCCCGCGAGGTGCGGCCGCGCCGCTCCCCAGCCCTCCCGCCGCAGAGCCGGCCTCGCACGCCCGCACGCGCCCGGGCCTCCGCCGCCGGGGCCGGCGCGGGAGCAGGGAGCGGGGTCTCGGGGCACGCGGCGACCTGCCTCCAGCCCGGCTGCCGGAGACCCGAGCCGCCGCCCGGGCCCCGGCGGAATGCAGAAGGAGGCGCAGTGTCCCCTGCAGGCGCCGGCGCCCGGGGCGCGGCGGCGCGGCTGCCCCGGAGGGCGCGGTCCCGGTGCGCCCACCCCGCCCTCCCGCGCCGCCCCCTGCGGGACCTGCCGCCGCGCCGGCCTCTCCCCCCCGCCCCCGGCGCCCCGCGCTCGCCGCCGCAGCGACCCCCACCCCCAGAGCGCCCGGCCCGTCCGCAGTGACAAAAGGAGCGTGGCGCGGAGATGTGTCCCCGAGCCCGGGGTTGCAGAGGCGTCTCCCCGGAGGGGCTCTCCAGGGAGGGGCTGCCAGGGGGTGCGCGGGCGGGGGACACCCGTGTCTACCCCGCGTGCAGCCGCCCCGGGGACACCCGGACCCTCGGGGTCCTCCCCACCCCCACCGTAGCCTCCGGCCGGCGGGGAGGACCGGGGCGCGCTGGGGTGGCCCCGCCCGCCCCCGCGCGCGCCTCAGTCCTCTCCGCCCCGCCCGGCTCGCGGGGAGCTTTGCCCATTCCCAGGGCCCGGCGGAGCAGGCCGCGCTGAGGGCACCCCGGCCCCCTCCAGCCTGCTGGTCTAAGTCTCCGGGTCCCCCTCAGTGCAGGCGACGCAGCTGCAGCCCCGCCGCGACGCTTGGGTGAGTTGCCGAACAGCCCCAGAAGAGCGGCTAGGGGTCAAGGGGGGGGGGGTCGGGCGGACAGTTGTTTCATTTCCTACCTTCTTCGCCAGCTGCTGGGAGTCCAGCAGAGGGTAGAGGTTAGGGAGGCCGGCAAGGGAGCGATGGCCCCCGCATTCTAGCAGGCAACTTGCCCTAAAAGGAGTCACGGCTCTGAGCACTGATCTGCCCCGTCCGAAGGGAGCCGGCGGCTCACGGTGGAAGGAGGCCTTGGGGACACCTCACTGGTGCGCTTGCTTTGGGCCCAGTCAGAGGCCTAGACTTGAATCCTCTCCTGCTACAGGAGGGCGTTCTTGGGTGGCTCTGTGACTTTACCAAGCCTCACTTTCCCCATCTATAAAAGGAGACTATGCTGCTGCCTCCCAGGGTCCTTGTGAGGATGACACCAAAAGATGATGCCAAGTGCTGCGTGAAAGCCTGTGGATACCGGCGGATCCCTGTTCCCTTGCCAGAGAAGAATCCCCACTTCTGGCTTTGCAGGGGGCACGCCCAGTGGGTGAGAAGATGGCCTCCTTGCCCAGGGGTGGTCTGGGGAATGGACTAGGGTAGAGGCCCTGTCAGCATGGATGCCCCAGGCCAGCCTTCGGAGGAGCCCTGCTTGTTGGCTGTCTGGGACGCGCAGTATAGCAAGACAGTTGCAGCTCTCCTGTGGACGTCCCTCACCATTCCCTCTTAAATGTCATTTTTCACCGCCCCCCCCCATCTCTACTTCAGAAAACAAAACCACGGTGAAAACAAACACTGCAAACTCCCACCACAGAGCAGAATTCCCACTGTACACATGGGAATGACCGAGTCTCTGAGAGTGAAGTGATGTGTATCAGCTAATGGATACCTTACTCTGCCGCTCTCCCTTATGTGTGTTTAATGTTGTGTGTTGCCTTCTCTTAATGCAAGAATAGGCACGATTCCCTCCAGGCAATCAAAGGAGGCAGCTGGTGTCACACTTTCCAATGCTTACTGGGTGGGGCGCTCTGCAGAGATTACCGCGCCCACGCCCCTGGGCCCCAGGAGGAAGACTTGCCACACCAACCAGAAAATGGACTTGGGGGAGCCATGCTCAACCTCTGTGGGGGAGAGGGACCCAAGAGTTTAGAACAAAGATCTTGACTTTGAGAGACATGGTCCTTGTGCATCTTGAGCCAGCGGAGATTCATTTGGCAGTTCTCCAACACTCCCGCCTGCAGGTTTTATTTATTTATTTATTTATTTATTTATTTATTTATACAAGCACTGGGTACAGTCAGAAGCGCAGGAAGGTGAGAGAATTCACCAGAGCCAGAGCCCAGAACAGAACAGGCAGACTGATGAAGTACACTGCTGAGGGGAGCAGCGGGCGCTGCAGGAGAGGTCTGCGTGCCATGTGGGACCCTCAGCGGTGGCCAGGAAAGCTCAGCGCTCAACCGCTGCACCACCAGGGGAGGCCCCCGCCTGCAATCTTTAAACCCTGCCCCAAAAGCTATTTTTCTGAGCTTGGGCCTGCCACTTCTCCCATAAGCCATGACCCAGAAGTTTGTCAAGAAATTTAAGTTTGAAAGTAGGGACGTTCCTTGGAGCGAGGCACACGTGATGGGTGCCATTTGGATAACTCATTCACATCTGTGTCCCCAGATCCCACATGCCACTGCTGCACACACTGTGGGTGCTGGAGAAGGGGAGAGGGTTACCAAGGACCTGCAGGGTACCTGACTCAGGGAAAAGACAAGTATCTCCTCTCACACACCACTTCCTGGAGAAAGATAAGTATTTCTGTTTACCCACTACTTCCTTCCTCTAGCCCCACTGATGTGCTCTCTTTTTAACTTCCCTCCCCCCACCTGCCACCCTCACCCCAGCCCCAGCCCTAGATAGTACAGTGTTTTCAGCTTGGAAATACCCCTGCCACCAAGATGGTCTCTCCCTGCAGCCTGCTCTCACACATCTGCACACGCACAGAGATGCCCCTATCTGTGGTCATCAGCACCCACTCCTCAGACCCTTCCCTCCCATCTAAAGCCATTGGTTCCCCAGCCCTCTTGAGACCAACCGCCAGCCCACTGGGCACCAGGCAGGGTGAGGACCGTGGGAGCCCAGTGTGCTTATATACATAAATGAGCAAGCTCACGTTCTGATTAGGTTTAGGTGATTAGTTGCTGGTGGTGTTGGCTCCACCCCCCGGAAACTCGGAGGGAGGCTGCTTGAAGCCTAAGCATAAGAGCCAGCCTGGCCTCCCTCTGCCTGGGGAACCGAAGGACAGCAGCTGGTGAGTCTCTTTCTTTTTCTTTTTTTTTTTTTCAATATTTATTTATTTATTTATACATGCACTGGGTACAGTCAGAAGCGCAGGAGGGTGAGAGAATTCACCAGAGCCAGAGCGGGGAACAGAACAGGCAGAACCACGAAATACACTGCTGAAGGGAGCAGCGGGCGTGGCAGGAGAGGTCTGCGCACACCTGGTGAGTCTTTTTCTAGACAACTCCTATACTAGTTAAATGTTGTGTGCCCACTATGTGTTTACCTCCTCTAGGGATTTTTTTTTTTAGATTTGCTTATTTATTCCTACAAGAACTGGGGTACAGGCCAGGAGTATGGGGGGGCGGTGAGAGGACTCACCAGAGACAGAGCGGGGAACAGAACAGGCAGATCTACTGAAATGCACTGCTGAGGGGAGCAGCGGAGAGAGGAGAGTTCTGCTGTGCCATGTAGGTTGCTGCCTGCCTGGACAGGAACCAAACTCATGCTGCAGAGGCTGCAGACAGCATGACATTGCTGTGCTTAATCCCTTGCGCCACCAGGGGGGCCCTCCTCTGGGGACTGTAGACTCTGTCCTGGACCCGGCCTCTCAGAGAGCCAGTGCAGGTGGAATCAAGGGGCTAAGATGAAACTGAATGGATCCCAGACCTTGGGACCTGAGCCAGGCAAGACAGAGAAGCCAGGTGGCCCAGGGGTCAGGACACTGGCCCCTGCAAAGCCTGCCACAGGGTCCCATGGAAACATGGTTAGGAAGGGCTTCTTGGGAGGTGGGGGCAGTTGAAACAAAATGGATGTTAGCTTTTATTTTTCTCATTTGGTCTTCACAGAAGCCCTGAGGTAGGTACTATTTCATACAGATAAGATATAAATTGGGGTTCAGAGAGATTAAGTGTTCTTTCACCATGACAGAGCAAGGAATTGAAACCAGATGTACTCGATGCCAAAGCTATTTGGCTTAACACTATTCCACATCATAAACACATCTGGCAAAGGAAGTCAGGTGAGCAAGGACATGCGATAGAAGCAGTATAGATGAGAGGCAGGACAGTGACATTTCTGGAGCATGAGTTTTGTGCACAAAGAGGTAAGAGCGGAGTCCAGAGAGGACAATAGAGAATTATTTGTAATTATTTATAAGTAAATTATTTATAAGTCTTATAAACCACAATCAGGAACATGGACTTGGCCTTGAGGGTGATGAAGGGATTGTAACTTCCCCCCAGAAGTTTTACTCAGCAGAGTAATGCGCTCTCTCTGATTACAGTTAGAAACGTAGGTGCAGGTAGGGGAGAGAAAGCAGAGACGTGAGTGCAAGCTACTCTAGAACATGCTTCTCAGTATTCTTCTCATTATGCATAAAGAGAAAACTATTCCTTTTGCATGTCAAAGCTGGGGGCTGTTTGAAGCTAAATGCAACCAACCCAGGGTGCACAGGTACCCCTGGGGCTGAGGAATTCCAACAAACATGTACCTACATTAGTGTGTACCTAGATTCAGTGGGGGATGAAGAACAAGAACTGGATTCAGAGAGCGATTAGAAAGCAAGATAGCACATAGTGATAGGTAAAAAGGATGATCCCTGGGCCTCCTCGGTGGCGCAGCGGTTGAGCACTGGGTTGCGAAGCTGCCCGCAGCCTCTGCAGCACCGGTTCGATCCCCGGCTGCTCCCCAGCCATCAGAGGAGGGTCCCAGCAGTGTACTTCCGTCCTTCTGCCTGCTCTGCTCCCCGCTCTGGCTTGGTGAATTCTCTCACCCTCCCGCACTTCTGACTGTACCCAGTGCTTGTATAAATAAATAAATAAATAAATAAATAAATAAATAAATAAATAACATTAAAAAAAAAAAAGATGATCCCTGGTTCCTGAGCTGAATGTCCTGACAAACTGCTTCTTCATTGTCGCCAGGAACATGAGGCAGGGCTAATTCATGAGAAATGATGAATCCTGTGGGATTCATCATTGGCCACCCTTACAGTATGTGCAGTCTCTTTTTTGTGTAGAACTGGGATGTAGGCCAAAGGTGTGGCATCAGGCGGTTGGGGAAGGTGGGGGTGGGGGCGGGTGGGTGCGAGGATTCACCAGAGACAGATCAGGGAGCAGAACAGGCGGATCTACTGAAATACACCGCTGAGGGGAGCAACGGGTAAGACCAGGAGAGGTCTGCTGCGCCATGTGGGTAGCTCCCTGGCTGGGGATTGAACTCAGGCTGTAGTGGTGATAGCGCTGAGACTTAACCCCTAGGCCACTAGGGAGGCCTGGTATATGCAGTCTTGATGTATGTGCAGAAGCCCAACAGGTGATGGATCAGGGCTCTGGAGTCAGACTGGGTCCATTTGCTATGTTCAGCAATTTACTAGTTCTCTTACTTTGGGCCAGAAAACACTGATCTTTCTAAACATGTTAGCTCGACTACAAGATAGGCATAATGATAGGATTATAAAACTGTTAGGGGAATAAAATGAGATAAATGCACAGCGCCTGGAACATAATCAGAATCCAATAATAGCAACTCTATTATATTGCTATTAATTATGACTATTATCAGCAAATATGAAGCTTGGAAATGAAACGGTTTCAGAAGTCATCAAGTGGAAACTGAAACCATGAGGATAAATATGCACAGATAGTGGAGAGGGAGGAAGCTGAAGGCCCAAAGCACGGACATTTAGGGGTAGACAGAGGAAGAAGACACTGAGCACAAATGGGCATAGAAGGAGCAAAGTCACAAGAGCCTGGTGTCGTGGAAGTCACACCCAGTGGCCACGCAATTGATCTTCTTCCTAACAGAACCTGACGTTAGGGAAACCCTCCTCTGGACAGCTGTGTGCTTCAGAGAAGGCACACAGTCCCGGTTCAAAGCAGGAGTTGAGTCCTCCCTCGCTCCGATTCCATTTCTCTCACCAGTGATTGGTTTAGGAAGGTGAATTTGATGCGGTCTGGTCAATGGGAATTGATAGAAAATCAGCTGAAAGGCTTGTGGGAAAGATTTCTTTGGTTTTGGGGCCTCCCTGGTGGCGCAAGGAGTTAAGCACCACACTATGAAACAATCCACAGCCACTGCAGCACAAGTTCGATCCCCGGCTGGCCAGGGAGCATCCCACATGGCACGGCAGACCTCTCCTGACTCGCCTGCTGCTCCCCTCGGCAGTGTATTTCAGTCAGTCTGCCTGTTCTGTTCCCCACTCTGTCTCTGGTGAATCTTCTCACCCCCATTTCCCACACCTCTGGCCTGTACCCTAGTTCTTGTATGCATAAATAAATAAATATTGTAAATAAATAGCAACAAAAAACCCTGGAACTGCTCCAGTGATCTCACTGCTAGCATGAGGATAATGAACACCCAAAGAGAAATGCAGAATCACAAGGATCAATGAGAAGCAGCAGTGGAGGCCTGACAGCAATCCTGCTTATCTTGTTATATGATGCACTATTTAAGCCAAAGTGAGTCAAATTTTGTGCTATTGATGTTTGCGAACTAAGTGCTGTAATCACAAAGGGATTTAATATGAGGAAGTAACTGCTTATGAAAAGTTTCAAGGTGCTAGATGGTCGGACTCTAGCTGAACCCCCAGGAATGACACCTTCCTTGTTGGAACTACTACCTCTGTCCACCTGTCCAGAGAGTGGGGACTCAGGAGGTCACCACGGGAACCATTGCGTTCAAGAACACAGTGCTTTATTTGTGATCCAAGGACCAGAAAGCCACAGTGAAAACTGTCAGCCTCCAAAACCTGATGAATAAACATGGAACTCGATTTCAGAAAAATTACTCATCTCCTAGACCATACTTGCCAGAAGAAAACAAAGCAGGAGGAAGAAGCCTTCACTTGAATTCCACCTTCCACATATTCCCCATCTAATGACCAACTTCTTTGCTCTTTAGTCCTACCTCCATTTCAGATCTTCTGTTGTCGTGTGAAACACAAAGAATAAAGCACATCGGCACTGGAGCAGGTTTACAAGGCAAGACTCTGCTGCTCGAGCAGAAGTTTTTGCACTATTTGTTGAGTCTACAGAAGCTAATAATGGATGATCACACAGAAGTGCTATGAGGAACAAAGTCCGGAGGGTGGGATTGGAATGGGAGATAAAGTTTTACGAGGAACAGAGAATGGACATTTTGACCATAAGTCAAGAGACATTTGTGTCAGCAAAGTATATATGCTGATGTTATCATAGGCAGAGTTGTTCTGAGACCACCATGGAGATGGTGACGCAATCTGGTCACTGGAGGTCTAGGCGTCCCCAGGCCTGCCTTGTGATATGGGCTATTGTCCATAGGTAGTCAAGCAGGAATGCTCTGCTGTGATTTGCAAATAGCAAGTACTCACAGTTGCCCATGAGTGGCCAGCTCACAGGAGCCCACAATTTTCTATCTGTAATCACTTTTCCTTCTCCATATAAATGGAAGGAAAGCCTAAAGGATATATAAATGCTTTCTATACCCACGAATTAGATAGATGATAGATAGATAGATAGATAGATCGATAGATAGATAGACAGACAGATAGATCCTTTAGAATTTTAGAACCATCTTACCTTCTGCCTGATACATATCCATTTGAATTTTATAATTTTTCCTTCTGATAAATATATATATCTCCTTTAGGATTTTTCTGAGGGTCCACTGAAGATCTTTCAATTTCAGTTTGCCTGAAAATATATTTATTTTGTCCTCATTCTTGATATATTATTATTTTCTGTACATAAAGGATAAACTGGCAGTTATTTATTTACTCACCTACTTTCTTGTGGAGAGGATCTGGATATAAAAACTAGAGTGATAGATTGTTTCTATCTACTTGTTGTGGGAGGGGGGTTGATTGGGCCCTTGGACAGTGCACTTTCTCCACAGGTGGCACAGATTGTGGCTGGTGGACCGGAGACAAGAAGACCTAGAAGGGTAACAAGTCACCCCCCCCACCCAACACAGGAAGCAGTGGATGGTATCAGCATAAGGGATTCCCTGGTCATGGTGGAGAAGCAGGTGAGTGTGAGGTGGAATTTAGCTGGCATGCTGGAGCTGGTCCTGTTCTGAGAAACCCCAGCTGGAAGTCACAAGGGATAAGCACAAAAGGTGGGGGAACTGTGTACAGACAGACCAGGGAGGATTTTCAGAGCAGTGAAATATTCTGTATAATTCTATAATGGTAGATATATATCACTGTACACGTGTTCATATTTATAGAATGTACAACCCCAAGAGTGAACTGGAAAATATGAACTATGGGTGATAATGATGTGTCAGCATAGTTTAACAATTGTAATAAATGTGAGGGATGTTGATGATGGGGGGCGCTGTACGTGTGCAGGCATAGGGACTACAAGGAAAATGTACATTCCTCCCAATTTTGCATCATACCCACATTTGCTCTAAAAAACAGTCCATTTTTTAAAAATGCTTTAAAATCCCTCAACTCTCTGAGACTGGCATTATCATCAGACTTTTCTGTGGAGGAGCCTGAGGTTTGGAGATAAAAGCAGTTTGCCCAACATAGCACAACTAGTAACAGCAAAGTTGGGATTTAAACATATCCGTAGGACCCCAAAGTTTGTTCAACTCTGATAGACATTGCTTTTCACCCCACTGTGTCTCATCCCCTCCTTGCTGGCCCCTATTTGCAGTATCATATCACCTATTGATGAAGAAAACTGTCCTGATTCAACCCTCTTCATCCCACCCAGTCTGGCCTTATCTTCAGTCTGAAAACTTGAGTAAGATATTGACTGGCTCTGAAGAAAAATAGTTTGTGCAATTCAATTGGAAAGTTCGAGCAGAGGCTGCACAACTTATCTCTTAAACTCTACAATTTTTAATGATTTTATCAGGAGGCTCCTTGTCAACATCTGCCAGATTCCTCTTCTGTTGCTTCACTTTCTCGTGTCCTCTTGTCTGAGGCTATGATGTCACACACTTGCTTTTGTGTCCACAGAGATGTGCTGATACAGTTCCATCAGACAGTGGCCTCAGATTCCCACTCATTGCGTCGATGAAGTGATAATCGCCAACCAGAGGTGTGACATAAGCCTGGGTTCATCTGGGCTGCCATAACAAGGTACCACAGGCTGATTGGCTTATAAATAGCTGAAATCTATTTCTCACAGCTCTGGAGCTTGGGAAGTTCAAGCTGCCAGCCTGGTCGCGTTCTGGTGAGGATGCTTTTCCTGATGCGGGTGAAGGAGCTCTGTCAGGTCTCTTTTATAAAAGTTTTAATCTGTGCATGAGGGCTCCACCTGATGACCTAAACAACTCCAAAGGCCTGCCCCCTAACACCATCACATCAGGTGGGCATACCTGTGATCTTAGCATATGAGCAGTAAATGCCCATCACCTGTGAAAGCTGGAGGGCGTATTTGGAGATTATGAGGTTGAATGTAGCTCATTTGTGCAGGGAAGGAGATGAAATCCACTCAGGTTTCCAAGTTTTCAGAAGTGCAAGAATGTTGCCTGTGAGTGGTAAGGAGTTGTGGGGTACCACAACTTGTGACACAGATTTGGAGGGCACCCTCATCCCTCTTACAAATGTCATATTTTGTTAGTTGCTTATCATATATGGTTAGCAAATAACCAGGTTATTCAACAGAAGCCTCAGTTTTCCCATCTATAAAATGGAGATAAGACCCAAGATTCTAAACTGGGAAGGATTAAATGAGTTATGTGTGTAAAGTCCTTAGCATTTAATAGACACTAAATAGCAGCTACATACATACTAAATAGCAGCTACATAGATACTAATTAGCAGCTACATACATACATTTATATTGCATGTAGATCCACTTTGAGTTTGTTAAGACAACTGAACATATTATATACAATTTACGTTACAATAACTAACAAATGTAATTCACAACATGTGCAGGTCTGTGGATCCAGAATAGCACCTACAGCTGCTGGAAGGTCATTCTAGGAGCTCAGCCCTGTGTCTTGGCAGCAACTGGATTTGAAGATGGCAGCAAGGGTATTGTGGGGTAGCCTCGGCCTGCTCCGCCTGGTGTGGTGTCTCCTTCCGCAGACAGGCTACGTGCACCCAGATGAATTCTTCCAGTCCCCTGAGGTCATGGCAGGTAAAGCTCCCGAGGACAGTTCAGAGAAGCAAAATCTGAAGTGGAGTTGAGTGGGTGGGTATTGAGTGGGAAGGGAGAAATGTGCCCAGGCAGATGAGCAGTAAATCCAGGAACCTCTGTGAAGGAAGAAATAGGGAGCGGGGACACCATGTCCCCTTCCAAATTGACCTTTCAGATGATACTAATGAAATGACAGCCTCGTAGGTGTTTCCCCGCTTGAACCAACAGCACAGGTCATTCAGAACAAAAGCTGACTGTTCGGTGGAAGAAGTTTAGTGTTGGGTTTCCCCAGTAGGTGGGGAAGTTTACACAGGGCTGCAGTCCAAGATAATGAAGCTTCTCTTCTGTGGATTCCTGGGAGGGCTGAGGGAGCCCAGACTGGAATGCTCACTGTTAGGTCATGCAGGACCACGAAGGGCCTTCAAAACAAGGGTAGGACCATGTTTTGCCAGGGATTTGAGGCTTTTCAGATGCTGTATGCACATGGCTTCCTCCTCCTGGTTCCAGATGGTTCTGCCAATCAAGTCTAAAACCAAGTCTTTCCACCAGTCACCAGAGAAAAGATGGACATGCCTGCTCCCTTTAAGGTCATATTTTGAAAGTGACATACTTTTTTTTTTAATCCCTGCTCTAAATGCCTCCTCTTTATTGGAGTCAGATGTGCTACCATTGTGCCACGAGGTCCTTCCTCTTTATTGGTATATTTCATCTTTATATCAACCACAGACGGTACGTTTAGTTATTTCCTGCATTTTATGTAGAGGAAATTGACACAAAGGGAAGTTAAGTAACTTGTCCAAGAATACAGTTCACCAGTGGTCACTGCTGGGATTCCAGTGCAGGCAGTCATGGTGGTTCCATGCTATGAATTACTATACTAGGCTGAAGAGAATTTGGACAAATGAATATTAAGGATTGTGGAAGTAGATGGGGAAGCCACAGCAATCAAGGTCATGCTGGTGGTTAGGATCGTTTTGCCTGGGCGCCGGAATCCCACACTGAAGGGAATGATGGTTAACATGAGTCGCAGTTAGTATTTGCATAAGGAAAGTCAAGTCACACACCTTTTGCCCATTTCCATCCCATCGGTCAGAGTAGATAACATTATGGATGGACACATCCAACTGCAAAGAAAGCTGGAAAATGTAATCTTTATACCTGACCAAATGCCCATCTAAAGAGACTAAGGAAGAAGGAAGGAAACATTTTGGGGAGACATCTCCATCACAGGGTTCAACAGGTGGACTTGTTTTTTAAGGTGAAAGTTCCAGTCTTCTTTCCTATACTTCTTTTTTTTAACCTGACCCAGTAAGAAGCAGCCAGGTAGATCTGATCTTAGATTTTATGTCCCTTTTGCTTTCACCATGAAGAGAAAAAATGACCAAAAGCCTAGAGTAATAAGTAGGACAAAGAAAGAGCCCTAAACAACTTGCAGTATTATCAGGCCTGAGATGTTGGGGGGCTTAGAGCTGAGCTGCAGAAATTCAAAGGCTGGTCCCCTCCTTCCACCCTTCAGAGCTCTGGGACTCTGGGATACAGGGTCACAGACGAGCCCCAAGCAGCAAGTTGTTGTTGTTGTTTTTTTTTTTTAATGTACTGCTTGGTTACATTACAGTTATTTAAAAAAAAATAAGTTTTGCAGGCAAAACTAAGGTCACTGGGCCTACTTGGTGACTGAGGAGTTAAGGACACAGCGCTGTCAAGCTATCGCCAGTCACTGCAACATGAGTTCGATCCCACATGGCACAGCCGACCTCTCCTATGTTGTCCACTGCTCCCCTCAGCAGTGTATCCCAGTAGATCTGCTTGTTCTGCTCCCTAATCTGTCTCTGGTGAATCCTCTCACCATTCCCCCAACTTCTGGCCTACACCCCAGTACTTTTTTTTTTTAAGATTTATTTATTTAGGGCCTCCCCTGGTGGCACAGCGGTTGAGCGCTGGGTTGCGAGGCTGCCCGCAGCCTCTGCAGCGCCAGTTCGATCCCCGGCCACCACCAAGGGTCCCACAAAAAAAAAATAAATAAATAAAATTTATTTATTTATTTATGTATTTATTTATTTATTTATACAAGAGCTGGGGTACAGGCCAGATGCGCGGGAGGGTGAGAGGATTCACCAGAGACAGTGGGGAACAAAACAGGCAGACTGACGAAATACACTGCTGAGGGGAGCAGCAGGCAGGACAGGAGAGGTCTGCTGCGCCATGTGGGACCCTCGCCAGCCGACCAGGATCGAACCCGCGCTACAGAGGCTGCGGACAGCTTCACAGGGCGGTGCTCAACCGCCTGCGCCACCAGGGGAGGACCCACCCCAGTTCTTGTATGTGTAAAGTTGACAGTTCTATAAATCAGAAGTCCTGAGGCCCTCTCTGCCCACAGGATCACAAGATTGAGATCAGGGGGAGAGCTGGGCTGGTTCTTATCTGGAAGCTTGGATGAGAAAACTACTTCAAGTTCATTCTTGTTGTTGGCAGAAGTCTACTTCAGCCATGGAACTATAGTCCCTATTTCCTTGCTGGCTGTCAGCCAGGGGCTGCACTCAGTTCCTAAATGCCACCCAGATTCCTTCCCAAGGGCCCCTTCTTCTTTCAGCCAGTAATGATGCATCCAGCGCTAGTCAAGGTTTGAATCTCTGAGGCTTCCTCTTCTGCCACCATCTGGAGAAAACTTGTCTGCTTTTTTATTTTTATTTTTTTTAATTTTTAATTTTTTTTCCCCCAGAAGAACTGGGGTGTAAGACAGAGGTGCAGGGGTTAGAGGATTCATCAGAGACAGAGTGAGGAGAGGGACAGGCAGATTTACTAAAACACACTACTGAGGGAAGCAGTGGGCGAGACAGGAGAGGTCTGCTGCATCATGTGTGTAGCTCCCTGGCTGGGGATCGAACCCAGGCCACAGCAGTGATAGCACTGAGACTTAACCGCTAAGCCACCAGAGAGGCCTTTTTGGTCAGCTTTTCCCTATAAAATTCACCATTTTCACAGTGCCAGGGATTATCAGGGCATGTATTGATATACTAGGGGGTTGGGAAATTTTGAGGGCCTCCCCAGAATTTTGCCCACCATATTCTCTGATCTTGAAACAGGCTCACCTCTATCTCTCTCTCTCTCTGCAGAGGACATCCTGGGTGTAGAGGCCGCACGACCCTGGGAATTTCTCCCCAGCAGCTCCTGTCGCACAGTGGTTTTCCCACTGCTGACCTCTGGCTCTGCCTTCTGGCTGCTCAGGCTCTGGGAAAAGTGGGGGCCATGGCCTGGCCCTGTGAGTGGTTATGTACTGTTGGTGGGGCCCCGACTCCTCCTCACTGCCCTCTCCTTTGCCCTGGACATGGCTGTGTACCATCTGGCCCCATTGTGGGGAGCAGATCGCTGGAACGCCCTGGTCCTGCTGTCTGGTTCCTATGTCACCCTGGTCTTCTACACAAGGACCTTCTCCAATGCCATCGAGGGGCTGCTCTTTGCATGGTTGCTGGTCCTAGTATCCCACCGTCTTTTCTGGAGCCCCAGAACCAAGAAGGCTGCTCTGGGCCCACAGTGGCACAACTGGCTTCTCGGGGGCATCGTGGCTGCTGGTTTCTTCAACCGGCCCACATTTCTGGCCTTCGCTCTGGTCCCCCTCTTCCTCTGGGGAGTTTGTGGAGCCACGAATCCTGGCATCAAGTCACTGACCCAGGAAGCTCTGGTGCTTCTCCCAGGGGCGACCCTCACAGCAGCAGTGTTTGTGGCTGTGGACAGCTGGTATTTCTCCAGTCCCTCCAGGCCCAGTTTCCTGGTCCTCACACCTGCCAACTTCTTGCGCTACAACCTGAATCCTCAAAACCTGGCGAGGCATGGCACACATATGCGGCTCACTCACCTGGCAGTCAATGGCTTCCTGCTCTTTGGGGTGCTGCATGCCCAGGCCCTGCAGGCTGCATGGCAGCAGCTACAAGCCTGCCTCCAAGCCTTTGCACAAATGGGCATCCTGAAGGCACTGGGTGTCAGGGGCTTGCTGTCCAGCCCCAGGATTCAACTCCTGCTCCTCTACTTTATGCCACTGGCCCTACTGTCTGCCTTTAGCCACCAGGAAGCTAGGTTCCTCATCCCCCTTTTAGTTCCTCTGGTCCTGCTTTGCAGTCTACAGACCCAGTGTGTGCCCTGCAAGGGTATGCTTGTCCTTTTCAATACCCTAGGTGCCCTTTTCTTTGGCTGCCTGCACCAGGGCGGCCTAGTGCCTGGCCTGGAGCACCTGAAGCATGTAGTTCATACACCTGGGCTTCCAAGCATCCCTACCCACTACACACTCCTCTTCACCCATACCTACATGCCACCTCGGCACCTCCTATACCTCCATGGCCTGGGATCGCCCGTGGAAGTGGTGGACTTGGGTGGGACGGAGGACCAGGTCCTGTGCCAAGCCCTGAACAACTTCACCAGTCAACCAGCTTGCCAGGTGGCTGGTGGGCCATGGCTTTGCCGTCTCTTTGTGGTGACCCCTGGCACCACCAGGCCTGCCATGGAGAAGTGCAGCTTCCCCCTCAAAAATGAGACACTCATGTTTCCCCACTTGACCATGGAGGACCCACCTGCCCTGTCCTCTCTGCTGAGTGGGGCTTGGAGGGACCATCTCAGCCTTCACATCCTGGAGCTGGGAGAGAAGCCTGCCAATGTGACCAAAAAGGCACCACCCAACTCTCAGCCACAGGCGAAGGCATCACTCTAGCTGAAGGGATAGGAAGAGCAGACTCCATGCAGGAATGGGATGTGCACAGCCTTTAGCTGCTCTGTCCTTCTGGATGAGCTGCCACTCTTTCCCCTCAAAGACCAAAGATCAGACAAGTCACTCAAGGTCCCCAAAGAATCTCTATCTGTCTCTGCCCTATTTCTTCTAGCCACTGTGATGTTTTAAATATATAGTAGCACCTGGTGGTGAAGAGAACTTCTGCTGGTGACATACCTGAGTGACCTCTCCCAACCCAAGAATGCCTTACCTCTTTGCTGTCATGACAACCCTTTAGCATCCTAGATACTGATAAGCTGTGGAGTACGCAGATAACTCAGGTTCACAGAAGTGAATCCTAGTCCCTTGCTGAACTCACTGGCTGTGTGATCTTAAGGAAGTCCCTTACCCTTACTGATACAGATCAGTTTTCCAGTCTGTATATGGATCAGAGGGTCGCGGAGGTATCTACCAGTTAGCGCAATCATTCCTGGGTCTGCAGCACGTCCCCCGGGGAGCAAGGCATGTTTTTCCCAAAGCCTTTTTAAGCACAGAAGTGGGTATGGTGGTGTATTTAATGGCATTTTGGTGCCTGTTGTATTCTTTTATTTGCTGTTCTATTATTACCAAAACAAGTCACTCTGGAACTTTTCTCTGTACTCTCTTCAACTCCTCTCCCTGAGAAGTGGCCATTTCTGCAGCTCACCCTTTAAGGATCATTCTCCAGGTTAGAGAGCCCAGATGTTCTCCCCCTTCTGCCAGTGGGAATGGAGAACACACAATGCTAGTCAGTATCTGGTGGCACTTGAGGACAACCTGGTACTATCAGAGACTTTTCTTCAGTGTGAGCCGGTCACTCTCCAAGCACCAAATTCCTGTCTGAAACCTGTGAAACAGGATGGAAAGCAAACCCCATGCCAAACCAACGGCTCTGGGTAAAGTTCCCACCCCTATGTCCCCTGGGATGTTAATCCCCACAACACAGGGTACCCTCTACCCAGGCCTCCATTGTGGGAAGCGGTGGCACCAGCCCATTGCTCATTCTTCCTTTCACATCGCTACCATCGCAAATGAGAACAAGGGGCACCCATGCCACAAGGGAGAGTGAACCGGAGGCCAGCACAGAGCAGGCAAACAAACCTATACAAATGATCAAGTCTGAGTGCTTCTCTAGTCCTGTCTTCTGTGGCTAAAACCTTGGGTCATCTTAAAACCTCAACCCTCTCAAGTCTTTCTAAGAGGAAGAAATCCTTCCCCAAGCAGGAGCCAGTTAGCCATAAGAGGGAGGAAACAGGGTTGTCTCCAATAAAAAGAGCAAATTCTCTTCCAAGGGGGAACCACTCAGCAGCAGACCTGAAGAAGCTGCTGGCAAGAGCAGCAGCTCTAAAAACAACAAAAAAAAATTTCCCCAAATGATCCCAGGAAGATTAGAATGTCTATTTCCCTCACGGGGCATACTCCATGCTGACATTTCCCAACCCATCTTCTACACGCCAACAATAGCAAGATTCACAAGGGAAAAATCTCCACTCCTCTTGGGCATGCTGCTCTCTGACTGCTGCTAGTCTCAGTGCCCTGACTTCAACCTCAGGAAGAAGTCAGGCATGTGCTGGTAAATGCCCAGAAACCTGGTCTCTTAGGGAGGCAAGCCCCAACTTTTAGCTTTTGCCAATTTTTGTCATATAAACATTCCCACCGGGGCTGATTTCAAGTTACTAAAATGATGTTATTAGGTTCTGAGTTGGGAGGAGATGCCAAGGACCTGCCCTCGTGAGCAAATGTAGGCAGAATCTACCACACAACTGGATCTCCCTCTGTTAAACTATAGTACCCACTCATGGAATTCTTTCTCCTTGTGGTTTGTTCCTAATTTGGATTATTTTCCATTCCCTCATTACTTAGCATATCTGGCACATGACAAGCACGTTTTCTTTGCAGCCAAAGATGGCTTTTCTGCCCAGTAGATTAAAAGCCAAGTGCATCTTGGAGAAACACTATGTCTCTCGGATCCCAAACTCCTCTGGGCTTCTTTGGACTTCTGCCTCTTCCCTCCCCCACTTGAGGCCACAACCCAGACTTCCCTGGAGGAACTGTTGGCCTAGTGGCCCATGTAGATTGTGGTGGTCCCTGGGCACTAATTTGTCCATGAAGTGTTGGTATCTTGATCTGTGTAGCGTCAAGAGGTGAGCACAAATTACCCAGTAGGAGAGTGGGTTGATTGCTTCCCTACTTCATTTTTGGCAGAACATGAAGAGCTTGAAAGGTATGCTGGGAAAGGTATGCCACTGGAGTGAAGACTTTGATGTTTCTTCAGTAAGTAATGGGCTGGCAAACCATTGGCTATAAACACAGGGCGTCTCCTACAAAGTGGGGGCAACCAAGTCACCTCTAACTTGTACCAAAAGCAGCCAGTTTTCTCTCTGGTCCAACTCCTACAAAAATGGAAGGAACTTGTTCTTATACATCTTTTCCACTAAAAATTAGCAACTTCCCCCTTTTCTTGCTTTCCTTCCTTTCTGCCAAGTTGCAGCTCACTGCTTTGTGTGCTGCTTCCCTTTTTGTCTCTACCAATCTAGGAAAAGACACAGCAGTGAGTATGATTATGTGGAGGGTAGGTAGTTGGGCTGGGGACTGCTAATATTCTGCTGCTCTGATACCCAGAGATCAATAAGACAAGACAGTAGAATGAATAATTACTCAGGCTCAAAGGAGAATCCAGTGAGGTGCCTCTGCTCTGAAAAGAGGGGGGATTTGTCTGATGGGAAGACAGGAGAGGGCATGTACACCAAACCAAGGCTTTGGTCATTAGGAGTGTGAGATTTCTGGCCTCAGAGAGGATTAAATAGCAGTACCTGTGACAGGAAAGTTGGAAGGTGGGGTGTCAAATCAGATGTTGGACCATTAGGAAAGTGGAAAGTAATCTGTCTTACGCTCTCTAGCCCCAGGGTAGGTTTCCAGCACTCAACAACTCCCTCTCTGTGACTTCTGCTGTGCCTTTGAACTTCCTAGATTGCATGACTGTAGCCTAAACAGAGGTGATCAGAAATTCACTCAGAACCCTCAAATGACAATGCATTTCTCTATACAAGGTATTTCCTAACCATGGGTCCATTAACAGGATCATGGTCTTTAGATTGTCTCCAGACACTGTTTAATGAACAGGCACGGGAATCCAACGTGTTCTACGGTAGGCAGTAGTCCTATCTCTGAGTTGAAGGTGGGCACGAAGATCTGGGTAAATACTGCAGAGAGCTGTGGTTAAGGAGGCCAAGAACAACTTAAGTAGTCTATGCTTCATCATGAAAGTGATTGTAAGGAGTGAGATAAACCACAGAGTGCAATAAGCATGCACCAGCACACAGTAAGTACTCAATGTTTTAACCAGTATTATTATGGTCTACAGTCCTCAGGAAACCTAATTCATCTTGCCGGAGAAGTACCACACTCAGACCCATTACTCAGCTCACACGTTTAATCAGAGAATTTTGGCAGCTGCAAAGTTAGTTGTCTTTCCATCCACGCTCTTCCTGGAATTGTTATAGGACAGGGAGAGGGTGCATCGGGTTCAGCCTACTTATAATTCTGCCAGGCTTCGGCGGCTCTTCACAAATCGTGCCCTGTGCGATCACAGGGATGTGGCCTTGGCCTGAGCTCCGCAAGCCGACGATCTCAGCCATATTCGAAGTCGTGCGCAATACCTGGATTACTCCTTGGGGCCGAGGCCTGTGTCGAACCTAACAGGTAAAGCAGGTGACCTCAACGGGTCCAGTCCAAGTTTAGCGGTTTTCGCCCGGGCCCCGCTGACTACCGGGCGGCGGCCCCGTGCGGTCCCGGAGGCCGCGGCGAAGCTCCTGCGTGAAGGTGTCTTTGAAGCGGGCAGCGCGGCGGGACAGGGAGCTCGCGGGCCCAGCCGCGAGGCCTCGCAGGCGCCGCGCCGCGTCCTGGCCGCGCAGCTGGGCCTGCAGCAGGGCGAAGGCCGTGAGCTGCGCCGCTCGCCGGATGGGCCGCGACTCGGAAAGACGCTCCACCAGCTGCTGGCTGTGCAGCAGAGCGGCCAGCAGCCGCCGAAGAACCATCCTCGGGGCGCGTCGCGAGCTCCCGGAACCCGGAGCACGACGCCCTGGCTTCCGATCGGCAGAGCCCGGGAGAGGACCGAGTCTGCGCCGGCGCTGAGAGGTGACGACACCGCCGCGCCGGGATTGGTGCACACGCTTCCCAATTTCGTCCCCTGCGTCTTGCGTTTCCGGTTCCTCGGTCGTCGCGGCGTCCTCGTTGTTCCCGAAGTGGCGGCGTCCTTGTCCACCTGCCTGCGCTATGTCCGGTGGCCTCCTGAAGGCGCTGCGCAGCGACTCCTACGTGGAACTGAGCCAGTACCGGGACCAGCACTTCCGGGTGAGAGAGGCCGGGCCGCGAGAAGGGGAGGCCCAGGGTCAGGACGCCGGGGAGCCGTTTGCTTTTGTCCCATTGTGTCGTCTCCCGCACGCGGGTTCCCGTCCCGCGACATGGGGCCCCGGTGTCTGCTGGGGAGTGGATGGTGGACGGGCGTTTGGAGAGCAGTAAAATCCCCGTCTCGCATAGAGAGGGAGTTTGAGGCCCGCTTTTCCATTTCCCAGCTGCCGGGGCTGTTCCCGGGCCGAGGAGTCGGGTCGGCGGCGTCGTGGGGCTCACGCTTCCACGCTGTGCCTCGGGAGGGTGACTTGGTGATGAGGGAAATGGAGTCTGTGAAAGCGCCTTCCTGACCCAGCTTCCGGGGCGTTTTGTTACTTTTTGTTTTGAATTACGTGAGTTAAGCTGCCCTTTGGCGCCGCGGGTCCTTTTCTTTGGCCTGGTGAGATGGCCCTACGAAGTTCGACGCGGAGGGTGTGAGACCCTTGGAAAGCCCGGGAATGGGGAGGTGGACCGGCCAACTTCGGCACGTGGGGTGTCTCAGTGATGATTGCTGTATTTCAGAAGAATGAAATTTTAGTTTGAACTGGCATAGTGGGTTATGTGGAGAAGGGAAGCGGCACATATTTAAAGTGGGCTCTGCAGGATCAGCAAAGGAGTGGAGTAGGGCGACACTCATTAACCTCTGGCTACTTGCTAAGCTTTTATTGAGTTGCGCTGAGTTCTGCTCCGCCCTAGTAGGGGAAGAGAAAAGTTTCTATCCTCAAGAGCTCTTAATCCTTTAATTGGAATTGTAAATGGAGGCAAGTAATCATAATCTAGAGCAGAAATGAGTGGAAAGGGCGAGACTGAGGATAGAGAACCCGTATGATTGGGAATGGGAGCAAGTCATCAGAGATGGTAGACGCGAAGAATGTGTAAATTATGTTAGTAGGATAGGGAAAAGGATATTTTTTGAAGCCTAGTTGAATGGAATCTTAGATTCTTTGACCAGTCGTCAGTTTTTAAATGCTTACTGTATGCCAGATGTGCTTTTCGCTTCTAAACTTTTAGTTTTCATTACTTTATAAAGTTCCACTTCAACTTCAGTTTCAAGCATCTTGCAAGATTAAAACTGAAAGGATATGACTTCTGCTGTTATTTGTCTCTGCAGTCTAAAGCCTGTAACTTTATTTAGGTAATAGTAAGATACTGCTCTGCAGACTTTCTAGTGTTCCTTAAATGGAATTTACATTAATGCCATATTTTAAGAAAGTACTTACACCACAATTGTTTTAAACCATAAGCTATTTGTTTGGACACTATTTACATGTGTGAGAAAAGCAGAAAGGAAAAAAAAATGCCTCCTGACCAAAATTTTAACAAATAAATTAGCTTTCCTTAATGTGTCATTCCAAGATTCCAAAAGCTTATTTTTGACATAGACTGACTTTTGTCCTGTGGACATTTTAAGGCAGTGTGGGGCTGGGGATAATACTGGGTTTGGATTCCAGCTACTTGTACTTAGTAGCTATGTGACCTTGAACAAGTTAATTGTCTTTCCTCAAGTGTAAAATGGGGATAATAAAACTAGGATCTTACTAAGTTCTAAATGAGCTCTCATGAAAGTCTGATCTGCAGTCCCTTGGTTCTCCCTAGAAGCAAACATAATTACCTGTTTCTTGTATATGATAGCGGTATATATTCATGCTATAAAAAGTATGATTTGGAGCATACCTTTCACATTTTGTAGTATTTTGCAATCTGCACAGTATTGCGAGTGTACATTTTTCGAGAGGCTGCATTGTTTGTATTGGTGTACCATAATTTTATCAGTTTCCTTTTGATGTGAGTTTAGGTAGTTTCTCTTTTTCTCTATCAATTAATATGATGACATGAGACCTATTATTCTTAATTACTGAGCTACAAAACATTCAGAGGGACATACAGTCTTGTTCTCTGAGCTAAGGAAACTGGATCAGCATTACCCGTGTAGTAAATGAAGAAGGGGTGCTTCTTGGAAAGTGCTCTGAGGGCCATAATGTGGGAGGTATCCTCAACTACCTTCCAAGCATGACCTACTGCGGTGTGGTTGGTGTTAGAGCCCTACTGGGTCAAAAGGACTTGAGAGCAGATGAACTCAATAGACCTTCGGTTTAATCAGTGTTTGTCTTCCCCAGTTGGAGGCTAAAAGAGAAGGCCCAGGGACATAGGGCCCTTTGATGAGCCAGGTGTATTGGCTGAAGTCTGGTTATATTCCTGTCTTTGGTTTCACCCTGTCTTCCACATTAGGAACCCCATCAACAAAGTGAGATCTCTTGTTTTTAATGATCACTGCATTTTCTCTTAAAATCGGAAAAAAATAATGAGTGTGTAAGCCATCTAAGCAATTGTTTGAACATTCTCTATGAGGAGTATTACAGTTGGTACCTATCTCTGAAAATCTGGGTCTTTTTTACTATAAAGGTTAAAAGAGCCCTTCCTAATGTATTGCGTCAAGGTTAAGGCATTAAATGTGGGCTATGAGAGCTAGTGCTGAGGATAGAGCGTGCAGGGGAACAGCATCCCACTTGTGTGGCAATATGGTGCAGGAGAAAAAGGGCTTACCAGCAAAGTAACTTCCAAACCTTGGCCCTATACTAAAAGCAGTCTGCACCTTGTGCACCTCTCCCTCACCAGGAATTTGTGAATTGGGATGATAGAAGCTGATTCCCAAGTCAGAATTAATGAAAGGTTTTCCTGTATAAATAGGAATACTATTTAAGCTGGACTCTCCTTAGATTGTGTTGCTTAATTTTTTCTGTTTGAAATTCTAGGGTGACAATGAAGAACAGGAAAAACTACTGAAGAAAAGCTGTACATTATATGTTGGAAATCTTTCCTTTTACACAACTGAAGAACAAATCTATGAACTCTTCAGCAAAAGTGGTGACATAAAGAAAATCATTATGGGCCTGGATAAAATTAAGAAGACAGCATGTGGGTTCTGCTTTGTGGAGTATCCTTTGTGGGTCATATGTCCCTGTTAGATGAGGGAGGGGCAGAGAGTAGCTGTCACGTGTTTGAAAACATGAGTGTGGATATTTGCTAATTAGCATCCCAACACTTTTATCTCTGCTGCTTTCATCTACCGCCTACCTTCTTTTCAGTGTGTCTGGCTACACTCTTAGATTGTGATTATTGATAATTTTTATATTCCATTCTGAAATCCACTCTTTGTTCTTTAAGAATAATCTTTCAAGAATATATGCTCTTGGTATTTTTTTGTTTTTTTAATTTATTTTATTTATTTATGGATACAAGAGCTGGGATGTAGGCCAGAGGATTCACAAGAGATAGAGTGGGAAGCTGAACAGGCGGATCTATTGAGATACACTGCTGAGGGGAGCAGCGGGTTAAACAGGAAAGGTCTGCTGTGCCACGAGGGTAGCTCCCTGGCATCGAACTCGTGCTGCAGTGGCTGCCGGATACCTTCATAGCGCTGAGACTTAACCCCTTGCGCCACCAGGGAGGCCCTATGCTCTTGGTTTTAAGACAAAGTGAAAGGGGTGTGGTGAAAATAAAATCACTCTACCATTCTAAGTCCAGAGACAAATAAATTACCAGCCTCTTTGGTATCGTCAGAAGTAATCGTGTAGATGTGTGGTAGTATGCACCTTGCAGTTTGATTTTTCACCTGTCTTAGAGAGTGCTGTCAATTCACGTACCTGTGCCTCTTTCTAAAATGATTGTATATTTCAGTATGTACATGTATGAAGTTTGATTTTGTATGTCAAAACCAAAATTTGTCATCATTTATTTTCTCTCTGAAGACTGAATACGGTGCTGCCTGGACTGATAATTTGGTGCGTTTTGGATTGTTTTTATTTTACTAATATTTCCTTTTTTGGTCATTTTAGTTTATATTCTGAGAAATTCCTTGACCTGATCTAATATATCACTTGAACTTTTTTTTCCTATGCCCTGAATTATATTTCTTTTGGCTGTATTTTGCTGTAAATTTTCCTGAAATTGGCTGTGTTTTCTACATTATCAGGGGAAAAAAGTTGACTTTGTGGACTCTGGCAGAACTGCTCTCTTAGGTGGATATGTGGATTTCCCTAATGCCAGAATGAAAGGGATTTTATTTTGACTGGTTAATATCAAAGATATTGCCCTAGTTCTTCCAGACAATTCATTCAGAACCGTGTATTCTGTTTTCATTTGCCTAGAATTAAATGCCTTCTTTCTAGCAGCTCTTCCCACATAGAACTCTAATTAAATGCTACTTGCATCACGTTACTTATTTGAATTAAGAGCCTCCTGAGATTGCCTTCTCCTTTAAGCACCTTCAAGAATATTTCACGCTTTGTTCCATCCATCTGTTGTTGTTGACTAACCTGCTGATGCTCACTTCTATTCTTGGCTTCTTTTCTGTCATTTTAATCTGTGTCTTAAGGAAAGGAGAAAATTGTGCTCACTCTTATCTACTTTAATTTTTTCCCCACTTTTGATTTTGGTGTCTGATTTCTTGGCTCTGCAAGCTTCTTCCATTCTCCAAACAAAAGGGGTCAGACTGCCCAAGTTTTACTTTTCCCTCAATTAGCAAAGGTATAAACTTTTTCATAGGGGACAACAGAGCAACTTTAAAAAAAAAGTTAAGAAACTCACCTCATAGATAATAATCATTGGTTTCTAAAAACTGGAGTTTTTGCACTTGTAGATCAAAAAAAAAAAAAAAAAATCAGCAATTGTGGCAAATACCTGAGAGGCTGTCATTGCCAGCCTTTTTTTTCCCCCCCTTCTCAGTTTGCCCTTCTAGTGAGAGCATTCATTTCATTCATTCAACAAAAAATTATTGAAGGCCCACAATGCGCTAGGCATTGTCTTAGGTGCTGGACACTGGAGTTTCAGCAAATGTTTCCCTGTATAATTAAAGACTAGGAAGAAGGTCTAGATAAGCATTTCCTAAACCTAGCTAATAAATAAAATTACTTATTCAGATCTTTTTTTTTTTAAAAAACCACCCCAAAGATAGATATAGTGTATCTGACAAAAAAGTAGTTTTGGAAACTACTAATCTGGGCAATACTTTGAATCTTTCTCATGAAATACAATAGCAGCTCATATGCACTTTCACCTTTTTATTAAGATCGTTCTCGAATATACAGCTCTAAGTTTGGATGCTCCTGTTTCATTGGCTAAAAGGTATGCAGTTTGCAGTCTAAATGTACACTTAATATTTTATATTCTGCAAACCAAATTATGAGGCTAGTGGGACCCAATACTTATTAACAAAACTGTTCAGGAAATCATGATCAGTGTAGCCATGGATAAGTATTATACTTAATACCCTTAGTGTTTCTGAACCAACTGAAATAGGCCTGTTGTGCAAAACAAATTTTTTTAATTGCATCTGGTTTGTATTCAATTTTGTATTTTTTTTAACAACTCAATCATGTTGCTTTTTGTACTTCCAAAAATGTTTGGAGAAATGTTTTGAAGTATTCCTTAACACTGAACTTCAGGTACTATTCAAGAGCAGATGCAGAAAACGCCATGCGGTACATAAATGGAACTCGTCTGGATGACCGCATCATCCGCACAGACTGGGACGCAGGCTTTAAGGAGGGCAGGCAATATGGCCGTGGGCGATCTGGGGGCCAGGTATGCCAGAAGGGTCTCTGAGCTTAGCCTTCACTTGGAGTTCTAGATTCCAACAACATATGTTTGCTCTTTTGAAAGTAACTTTTTGCCTAAAACCTTGGCTTAAAATGACCCTAAAACCACCCATTAGGATTGATGATTTTTTTTAAATTTTTTTTTATTTTATTTTTATACAAGTGCTGGGGTACAGGCGAGAGACGCGGTAGGGTGAGAGGATTCACCAGAGACAGAGCAGAGAGCAGAACAGGCAGACAACCGAAATAAACTGCTGAGGGGATTCAGTGGGCATGACAGGAGAGGTCCACCACACCATGTGGGTATCTCCCTGGCCAGCCAGGAATCAAACCAGTGCTTCAAAGGCTGCAGACAGCTCCACAGTACTGCGTTCAACCTGCTGTGCCACTGGGGAGGCCCTGATTTTTTTTAAGTATGTTATATATTTTCTACAAGCCACCTTTATTGGCCTACTAGGGGACAGATATTTTCCACTTGCAGGAATGTCTAAAACAAGCAAACAGCACTGAAATGAGTTTTTTTTTTTTTTTAAATAACCTAATTTAAATGCATGTTCTTTGGAATGTACTAGTTTTGAATGCTGCTGAAGTATGAGCCTGATGCTTGATTAAAAAGAAAAAAAAATAGGTGGTCTTAGATGATTGAACTTTGTAACAGTTTTTAAAAAATGTCCTGCTTGAATTTCACATTGTGACTGCAAAGGCTTTATTTGTGTGTTTGATGTATTGGTGGGAGGCATATTTGTTACATGAGTCTTCTGTATGCTGTAATTTGTGTTCTTTTTAATTAAGGTGCGAGATGAGTATCGGCAAGACTATGATGCTGGGAGAGGAGGCTACGGAAAACTGGCCCAAAACCAATGAGTGGTGAGAGCCCCATCATGAAAAACAGTCCGTTAGCCTGTTGAATTTGTTGACGTTTATACCCAAGGTCTACAAACCTGCCCATTTTTACCAAGCTTTGATCAATGTCCCTACCAAGCCAGAAGCCTCTTCATAAGAAATTAAAGGACAGCATCCAAAAGTATGCCTTTGATTCTATAGTCTTAGAATCTTGACCATGTGTCAGGTTTCCAGAATGAGTTTCTGTTACCAGGTCAAAAATTGTGTTCCTTGGCAACAGATTCATTCTGTATTGTTGATTGATCTATGAGCCAAAACACCATGCTTCTTTTAGGAAGGCTGGAAAAAGTAAAAAACTTACTTACTCTGTTTCAGTAAGTTCATGGTCTACATTTGGACCTGAAATTACATTTCTTCAGTTTTAAGTTTGCATGAGCTAAAGCTTAATAAGTGGAGTTTTATTTTTGTTCTAACTTAGGAACAGGTGTTTGACAGCTGGTTTGGTTTTCTGGGTTGAATTCTAATCTCTAAAGGCAAACTTAGGTGACAAGGGAACTTCCTAAATAGTTGGTGCAAAAGCAAGCCTTAGACAATCCCAGGGGACACCACCTGCTTCCATGCTTTCTATCAGAAAATGAGATACGGGACTTGACGGCTATTTACCAAACATATTTTTCAAAAGATGTAAATGTTTTACCTAAAGCAAAAAAAAAGGCAAGGGGTTTATATAAGTTCAACTTAATACTCTTAAATGAGGGGAAGGGGAGACACTGTCAGTAAGAGAAGAGAGGAAATACCAAGGGAGATGTGGGTTAAAACACCACCTTGACATCATGATGGTTGCTATAAGGGCCACCAGATTCATTCTTTTCATTTTCGGAGTGATCTTGGTATTGGAATGGGCTTAAAAATAAAAGGCTTGAAGATACGAAAATACGTAACAGAAAGATCAGCAATGATTCTCTTAGGAAATGTGCTTTGGCCAGTTCTCATACTGATCTTTTTTTCCCCTAATGGTGCTTACTGAGTTTCAGAGCCTTAATAGTGAGTTAATGGTCTCTACAGAGAAGGGAATCTACAGAATTTATTTTGCATTTGTAAAGCAGGAGGTGGTTTTTCTCTGATATTATAGGTGAACTGTTGCTCATTAAAACTGCTAGTCTGGTATCATTTCCCCTGATGTAAGTGGACTGTTCATCTAGCAACAGAGCATCTCCTAACTTCCAATAATTGTGAAAATTGGGGCTGAAGTATCTCAGTGTGAGCATCTTTCATGTACACTAAGTGTAGATTTTTCTCATTAAATTCAAACTGGTTATTTGAATTTTTAAAAACTGCTTAGGAAAAAAACACATTTGCAAACATTTAATTTAATGAGGATATACTATTCATTAAAATTTTTTTACACTATCGTGCGAATTAATGTATTTTATATTCTTTTGTAGTAAAACATAACTGATATCTACAGGCCTTAAGACCACAGACAGTGGTTCCTATTTGAATTGTGTCTTCTGTAATAGATTTCAATAAAGTTGGACCAACTTATTGTCTGCGCCCATTTCCTTACGTGTAAAGGACATTGGAATTCTTTTACTCTGGAATATTATGAATGCATTATGGGGGAAAATCTATAAATGTGCAGAATTTGCATGTCCATTTTGATCTAACAGTTACCTGAGAGTAGCCACTGACTACATGTAGCTATTTAACTAAAATTAAAACATTCAGTTCTTCAGTCACATTAGCCACATTTCAGTGGCCACAATAGCTAGTGGCCATTGTAGTAGATGAAAATACAGAGCATTTACATCATTACAGAAAATACCAATGGATGGTGCTGTTTAAGGGGAGGCTGCTTAGAGCCTTCCCTGATGGTTCATAAAGCTCTGTCATGAGTAGAATATCACTGGAAAAAATTGCTACTCAGTAGTACATGTTATTCAACACAAGAGAACACACATTTATAAAGGCATTTAGTTTATTTTTCAAAAAAATATTTTTGCTAGAAGGTTTGAGTAATTTTACATGATCACAATCTTTAAATAAATTCTTTTTCTGACCAAAAAGTATCACTTAGGTGAACAGCTTGTCTAGGTCTGCTTTTGTAATATCCAAATACAGTTTCCACTTCTCTGATGGTATTCCCTATGCCTTTCTTAATTATCTACAGGCCAGAAGGCAGAGCCTAGCACATACTAGAGTATGTGCTTATAACTGCTGATTAATTCAGTTTCTTACCATAATTAAGCAGAGCGGGTTGTCAGTGTCTCTTATTCACACTAGTAATAAACTTTCTTGCCAGAGGCCTCAGTTATCTTTTCTAACCCAGGAAAGCACAGCTGCAGAAAAGAAGGGCAGCTCGACTTAAGCTAATTGCTGGCTGTGTCCCAGTTAGGCCTGTTACTGTTTTGTTCCAACTATGAATTCAAGATGACCATTGTCACTTGTGTTCAGTGATAAGTAGATAGTATGTTAAAATTAAAAAAGTGATATGGGAGTACAGGCAGCAACTGCTGCCTTTCCCTTAAGAGAAGGTTGGTTCTCTAGGTTTCTTGAGAGAACTTAACTATACGTTGAATCAAATCTACATTCATTGCTATAGATTTAATGAAGAAAAAGCTCTGGAAAGAAGCAACTATAGCCCGGTGTTTGCTGGTGGAGAGAACTGGGCAGCTTGTTAAAGGCACATCATAAGTAGCTTTTGGTTTCTACAAGGCCTGCACTCAACCCCAAAAGCATAAGGTCTCCCCACCTTGTGAGCACCCAAACAGCTCAGTGCCCAGCTAGTGACAGTACAATGCCTGTCTTTTCCACCAACAGCCCAGACTACATCAAAAATGTCTGTTGCAAGGAAGCAATTTTTGCAAATAGGACAAGGGCCATTGTAATGTGCTATTAGATTTTATACCTAAGTCACAGGAAAAGGTGGGGAGAGGGGAACGAGATTGTGTGCTAAAACCAAGTTTCAATGAATGACAAAGAAACATTTTAAACAAACTTAATATATTTGACATTTAGGCTAAATCATGCTGGTCAGTGCACCTCAGGTATCCCATTAGCTGGACGTGGAGGAAGCAGACTGGAACTGCTCACTTAAGTTCTCTCTGCTCGTCCGTGTGTGTGCCTCAGTGCCGAGGACAGCCATTTCACATACTACAGGAAACAGCAACTCAAGCTTTGGTCATTAAAATTAAGATTCTTGCCAGAACACAATTCTGTCTCTCCTGCGTGCCTGGTTCTGTCAGTGAGGAAGAATAATGTGGAACTCAAAGTACAGGGTATTTTGAATAGCCTAGCTACAATGTCTAGCTACCCCGAAAGGTAAGGAAGGCCAATGTTTCCCATACAGATGTGAAAAATCTCATGTTTGCATAATGCTATCTGAAAATCTCAAGACATCCTCCCCACTTTAAATTGTCATTTTCCTGATGCTGACACAATCCTACCTGTAGCAGCATAAAGTGCCTCTAATCTCAGTCTCTAAGGACTTGAAGCACAGTAACTAATACTGACCTGGTTTTATCCTGAGGAGTCTGGGGGACTTAGGAAAGTGCTGGGGCTGTTTACAATGTAAACACTGGTGTTGGTACTGGAATGTGTGGGGACAGGAACCCTGCATGTAAACACATTCTGACTCCACGCCTCAACTGCCGGCAGTCAGCCTTAAGGTCAAATTATACCGCATTTTTTGTTTCAACACCCCGCACCTAACTGTTCAGAAATCACAAGTGCCTTTTGCCATGTACTGTACAAGCCTCTATGAGTTTCTTATATACACATTTGTTGTTCATCCGCCCTGGTTCAGAGCAGATAAATTGGGAAGTTTTAACGTGCATCTTTCCTTATTTCCTTTCCAAATATTATAAAAAAGAGATTAATGATGCAAATCCAAATGCAGCTACGTGTAAGGACACTGCTGCCTTTCCTCAGAGAATGAGGTTCATAGGAGAAAAAGAACTGTGCTAGAGTCTCAGGGCCGGTCAGGCAGCGGCCGCAGGAGGAGCCCTGCCGCTGCCGAGGTCACTGAGGTCACTGAAGAGCGGAAAGAACCCCGCTAGCGCGCGCGTCTCCTGTGGAGTCAAGTCTTTAGACCGTCCTCTCCTCCCGGCCACCTGCCAGGGGCCTGAAGTCAGTCTTCAGTTTTGAATTTTTTATCTTAAATACCTTTGAGATATAAAGGCATTTGGTAAATCTTAATTTCTCCCACATGGGAGACAACACAAGGGAAGAGACAACCTGCATATTACTCTTAGATAGGCTGCGTTCTCATGTATTTGACCACCAGTTTGATGAATGTTAAGTTTTTTAAAGGGTCAAAAACAGAAAAATCCAGGGAATTCAATTTTCCAGCAAAAGCCTTTGTAAGATTTAGCCATTTATTGTCATTCTTCTTAACAAAATTGAAATCTCTCATGTGTTAAGATAACAGGCCCCCAAGGTCATTGTGTCTTTTTCATACCTTAACTCTTCCCACAGTAGGCACTGCTCGCAGGTGTGCCTCCGTGAGTAGAAACACCAGTGAGTTAACAGCCACTTCCTTCTCACCTTCAAAAGGAATGCATCTCGCTCTTCAAGACTCCCTTGGAGAGGGAGGTCAGTGAAAGGTGCTGCTGGTAAAAGTAAAACAGGACTGGCTTTGTCAAACCCACTCCTAGCTACCCTTGCTGAGGAACATCTATTCTCGGAAAAAAAACATCCTGCATTTTTAGGTTCTGGGGTTAAATTTTAAACCTGTATTCAGTTCACATCTAACTAAGTTTCAAAAGCTGCACCAAATCTACTAGGCTTTTTTTTTAATACTCTGCACTGCATGCTCTGTCTATATGCATGCGCTTGGATAATAAATATTAAATATGAGGGGAACACACAGAATCCATAAAATTAAAAATGAAACCAAACTGAACATTAAAAAATAGTATATGGTAGCTAGAGAAATGAATAAGGGCAAAAAATAAATTTGAGGTAACAATAGTGGCCCAACACCACTGATCTGAAATATCTGTAAAAATCCAAATAAGTGTTTGGAGATTCAAGTAACAAACCATCTGCTCCAACTTGGTCAGACTTCCCAGAGTCCCTGCTGAGTTTCAGTCCATGAGCCGGCACTCACACAGCTCCTTGTAGATCCTCTTCCGCACTCGGGGCATGTCTTCTTGGGAAAACTGGAAAGGCTGCTCTAAGGCGAGGCACTTGCAGTACTGCAAAGGTGGAAGAAATGCTTAAGCACCATGTGAGGTGCTGGACCAGCACAGTAGGTGGTCTAAAGTGGCATTTTAAAGTTTGCTTAAACTTGTAAAACACAGTTTTGAGACATTCTTATCCAAATTATAGTCAACTATGCAGGCAAGTACATGACTTGGGAAGCACCTCCCTCTCAATACAGTGAAAAGCTGAAACTGCTGACCAGGCTCAAGTTCTCAGGGTGCAACCTGCTGACATACAGCCAGGCCTGAGAAGCCTGTGAGAACCTGAATTTGTTTACAAACACCATTCATTCATGAGCCATAAGAATGAGCCCATCTTCCTCCCTGGTGGCGCAGCGGTTGAGTGCTGGGTTGCAAAGCTGCCCGCAGCCTCTGCAGCACTGGTTTGATCCCTGGCTGCTCCCCGGCCACCGGAGGAGGGTCCCACATGGCGTGCAGACCTCTCCTGCTGCCCGCTGCTCCCCTCAGCAGTGTACTTCGGTCCTTCTGCCTGCTCTGCTCCCCGCTCTGGCTCTGGTGAATTCTCTCACCCTCCCGTGCTTCTGACTGTACCCAGGGCTTGTATAAATAAATAAATAAATCTTTAAAAAAAATAAAACACACTCAAAAATGAAAAAAAAAAAAAAAGTCCATCTTCCAAGATCCTTGCATATTTCTAAAGTCATGGATTATATTCTAAAATTCCCCTCATAAACACATAACAAATATTTGAATAGCCTTCTAGACCACTGAGGAAGGAAATCTTAGAACGAAAGCAGATTTGTAGTGTAGCCCTTATTCAAAATCTAGTTAGTTTAAGGGGCCTCCTTGGTGGCCCCACACCATTGATCTGCAATATCTGTAAAAATCCAAATACATGTTTGGAGATTCAAGTAACAAACCATCTGCTCCAACTTGGTCAGGTGCTGGGGTTAAATCTCAGCGCTTTCAAATTATCGCCAGCCACTGTGACATGAGTTTGATCCCCAGCCAGGTAGCTAACCCACATGTCTCATCTGCTGCTCCCCTCAACAGTGTATTTCAACAGATCTGCCTGCTCTACTCCCCAACTCTGTCTTCCCAACTCTGTCTTTACTCCCCAACTCTGTATTTCAGTAGATCTGCCTGGTCTACTCCCCAAATCTGTCTCTGGTGAATCCTCTCACCGCCCCCCCAAAACCTCTGGCCTATACCCCAGCTCTTGTATGCATAAATAAATAAAAATCTTAAAAATAAATCGTTTTTTTTTTTAAAAAAAATCTAGTTTTCACTCTGGTTGAAGAACATTTGCCAAAGGTTAAAAATACATAGTTAGGGCCTCCCTGGTGGTGCAACCTATGAAGCTATCCGCAGCCACTGCAGCATGATTTTGATCCCCGGCTGGCCGGGGAGCTACCCACATGGCACAGCAGACCTCTCCTGACTGCCCGCTGCTCCCCTCAGCAGTGTACTTAAGTCAATCCGCCTGTTCTGTTCCCCACTCTGACTATGATGAATCCTCTCATCCCCCACACCTCTGGCCTGTACCTCAGTTCCTGTATGCCTTAATAAATAAATCTTTAAAAAATACAAAGTTTACTCTGTAAGTGTCAAGGGTCTATGATATGGACTAATTCAGGTCTGATAAGACACAGATGATATACTTTACTCATTCTTGGCCTTAGAAAGTGGTTCTTTCTAATGAGAGCATTTGAAAATGCAGAAACTACTGTTTCTCAACAATAAAAGGGAGGGAGAAAAGTCTATTGCCTGTACCTAGTACCATGTACAAATCATTGAACTCCCATCTCCTCTAAAACTAGCACATTTAATTCACACCTTACAAATTCTGAAAAAAAAGTATACCTGGAGCACGAAAACTCCACAGTCACTGTCATTTTTCTGTTGTGGAATACACTAGAGGAGAAAAATAAAATGATTATTAAAATAAGACCAAAGACTCTTCAGAACTATTTTATGGAAGCAAAACAATGTCCCAAGCAAAAGTATTTTATGGAAAAATGAGTGAGGCAGGAAACTTGTCTATCCAGGACAGCTGGTATATATACCTCTGGTATTTTAAGCATCTTAATTTTACGGCAGTATCTGGCCACATGAAAATAGCTATCAACTAACCACAAATTTATAGAAGAACATTTTGCCTAGTATAAATGGGAAATCAAAATTCTATTTTTATGGGTTTGTTGTGTTACTTTTTACTGAGGTAACACTGGTTTACAACAATATGTCTTATGGGTACAGAGCTACATAAAGTCCTATTTTCAAAACTTTTCTTTGGATCATTAGTTTGCTATCAATTCACTGATCATGGAATTGTTTAAGAGCACACACTTGGACTCAGAATATTTAGATGGTATCAACCCTGCTTAGATACTCCACTTTTCATCTGATATTACATAACTCTCCTATTCTTTGGGAGAAATTGTAAAGTTAAGCAGAATGTTTATAAAAGAACTGGTTACTATATTCTACCTGAAACAGGAATATGAAAAGCCCTGAATAAATTTAAGAGAATGCCTGGATACGCTAATTGAGTAAATTTGAAAAATGCACATATTCAGATCTGGTTTAAACCAATGTACTAGTTTATCTACAATATAAAACAGATTAAAATTTGGTTAAGTTTAAGGCTTTGAATTAAAGGTTTATTTTAAGATCCTGCCTCTTTAATACTGTGTCACTGATCAGACAGACTCCGACACAAGGACTGATTCCATCAATAGTTTTGATAGACTTTGAGGAAGTCTATCAACTTTAATTTCTCATCTGAAGAATAAAGATGATTATTAGCCCTGAATGGCCTGCCTACGTCATCGGTTGTGTGGATCAAATGAGATCATACCTGTGAAACACACTGAAAACAAGCATTGACCAGAAATGTAAGACAGTGGTATCTGTGACAGGATTGAGAGGTTCTGCCTGACACTCGCCCACATACAGCTTTTTTAATGTCTATGGGCCAAACCTAGTACTGTTCTCTGACTGTTCAGGCCACTGTCTTCCCCTAGTGCCTGGAAAGTAATGCAGCACTTGCTCCATTAATGGATCCAAATAGTCATTTTAGTATTTCTTGGAGTCCTCTGGAAATAAGAGCTATGAGGTACCACCAAAAAAAAAATATATATATATATATATATGTATATATATATATTTACACACAAAGAAAGTAAGTACAACATAACCAGCTGCTCCAGGTATGAAAAGACTGACTTTGTTCCCAGCAAATACTGAAAAATAGAGCAGCCAGATGATGAATGCTAAGCTGAGGTTTATGCTGCACTGCCTCCTGCTGCAGTTCTCTGTTGCTATCTTCGTCACCAGTTTCAAATGCTCTGAAGACACCCACCCCATAGGTAACTCCATCCCCTTCACATGCCTGGTTTTCATTTTTATTACACTTACCTTTGTAACAGCAGTCTGCCAACCCTGAAGAAATTCAGGTCTGTTTTTTTCTCTGGCTTCAGTCAGCAAATACTTTCTTATATTCTGGTTAAAAAGAAACCACAACACAGATGCTGTGTTCCATCAGTTGGTGAAAAATGGAACCTGCCCACAGCAAATAGAAGCAAAGAAGGGGCTGTGGCCCTACCACTGGACAGAGTATGCATTAAAAAGCTTAAAGCTGGAACTTTATTTCACACCTTTCACTTAATATTGTTAAGAAGGACTCAAACCTTCTGTCCTCAGATTCTGTATTTGGGCTGTGGACACGTTTTAAATAAAAGTTTTTATGAGATGATCAGCCTTTTCCAACAGTAAGTCAACTTGCTGAATTTGAAACTTAAATACTGGCAAGACAAAAAGAAAATTTTAATTACTGCCAGTGCTTAACAGAAGGAAGGAAACTGGCAGAAATCACTAGCTGAAACTAAATGAAAAACTTTCAGCCTCATTTTTCAGCCACCATGCCCCATGAACGGGAGCTGTGGAGAACCCTGCAGGATCCGCCGCGGAGGTGAGCTCCGGGCGCCATTAAAGAGAGACCCCGCCCAGGAGGAGACCAGCACCAGCACACAGCCCCGGCCGCCCGGTAAGCCTGCACGGAAAGCGGCGCGCTGGAAAAACAGACGCGGATCAGGATTGCGCGGGAAAGCGGCGCGGATCGCGCCTGTGACCTAGGCTTGCGGGGAGACGCGGGAGGCCCTCACCGTGTGAGCAGGAACCAGGCGCCCAGGCAGGGGAGCGGGATTCAAAAGGCGCCATTCCCGCGCCACTGATCTGGGCTACAGCCCGCGTCCTGGAACTGAGGGCTTTGGAACTGAGACCCGGGGCACGAAATTAGGGGCGTGGGTTCCCCACGATGGTGGGGCACAAGGCAGACACAGCACCCCAAAGCCGTTGAGGTGTACCCTACCATCCCTGCTCTGCTCCCTGTCCCACGGGGTGGAAAATCAGCTCCCCAAGGGCTCTAGGAGAGATCTCTGGCGCCACCTTGCGACTTGAAGCCAGCACAGGCTCCTGAAGGAGCTAGTGGCCAGCTGGGGAGTTAGCCCACGCCGGGCCCCTTCCAAACAAGTAGTCTGAGCCCACAGGGAGAGCGAGCACCCACAGCCGGGGCAGACCAAGCGCGCAGAAGAGTGTGCCTGAGACCGGACGCGCAGGGAGTGTGTCCCACATCACCATTATAGAATAGGGACATTTCTTCAGTAAAGACTACCTGCAGAAGGCTTCCTCAGGAGCCAGAGGTGAGCGGGGGAAGTTCGCCCACACCAGACCCCCTCTGGCCTGCAGTCCAAGCCCAGAGGGGGAGCAGGAACCCACCGCCGGGGCAGACCAGGCGCACAGGGGAGTGTGTCCCCACATCGGCATTTTAGAACAGGGACCTTTCTCCAGTAAAGACTGCTTGAAACTGACAGATGACTCCTGGAGGAACCAGAGGGGAGCAGAGAAGCCCACCCAAGATGCCGGCCAGTCCCAACAACACAGTGTCCCAACGCATACGGCAAATTAGAAAACAGACAGTAGGGAGGAGAAGAACCACACGCAACCTAGCAACTCTCCAGAGAAAAAGCACACCACAAAAAGAAAACCAGCCCCGAGATGGCAACGACAGTAACTTGGAAGAACTTCTGAGCCTTCCAGAAAGAGAATTTAAAATTGCCGTGATTAAAAAACTGACAGAAGTCATAAAGGAAAACAATGATAAGGGAAAAATAATCAACGATCAGAAGAATGAAATTGAGTCCCTAAAGAGGGTAGTAAAAGAAATGCAGGAGATCAAAGAATTAATGGAAGAACTAAAGAATTCTGGGAAAAGCAATGAAAGCAGAATTGATGAAATGGAAGAACGAATAAGTACTCTTGAAGACACAGAAATAAAAAGAACCAAAACAGAAAAGGAAAGAGAAGTACAAAGGAAAAAGAATGAAGAAAGACTTCGGGAACTATCTGACTCCATGAGGAAAGGAAATATAAGAGTTATAGGAATACCAGAAGGAGAGGAGAGAGAAGTAGGAACAGAGAAAATATTCAAAGAGATAATTGAAGAGAACTTCCCAAATGTGAAGGAGGAGCTGAAAATTGATATACAAGAAGCAAGAAGAACACCAAACTTCCACGACGAAAGGAAAAATACAGCAAGACACATAATAGTAAAGCTCCCAAGAATCCAGGACAAGGAAAAAATAATGAAGCTGGCAAGAGGGAAGAAACAGATAACATTCAAAGGAAAGCCAATCAGGCTGACATCAGACTTCTCCGAAGAAACACTACGGGCAAGGAGAGAGTGGAGGGACATAGTCAACAGACTCCAAGAAAACAGATGCCAACCAAGAATACTCTATCCCGCAAAGCTCTCCTTCCTCTTTGAAGAAAGAATATGGACTTTCCCAGACAAACAGAAACTCCGGAATTTCATTGCAACTAAACCCCCACTCCAAAAAATACTACAAGGAGTCCTAAAGCCAGAACCTCAGAGGGACGAATAACAATGAAAGAAGGCCAAAAAAAAAAAAAAAAAAAAAAAGTTATTAAAAGAATAAATAAATAAAATCAAAGGAAAGACAAACACAATGGCAAATACAGATGTTAACATATCAATATTAACTCTAAATGTAAATGGACTAAACTCTTCAATAAAAAGACACAGAGTTGCAGCCTGGATTAAGAAACAAAACCCAACCTTTTGCTGTCTCCAGGAAACACATTTAGCTACAAAAGATAAAAATAGGCTCAAAGTTAAAGGATGGAAAACAATCCTACAAGCAAATGGACCAAAAAAGAAAGCAGGAACAGCTACACTTATATCAGATAAAACAGATTTCAAACTCAAAAAGATAAAAAGAGACCCCAATGGTCACTACATTATGATCAAGGGGACAATACTTCAAGAAGAAATAACACTCATTAACATAAACTCACCAAACGAAGGAGCACCAAAATATATCAGACAACTGTTGTCCTCTCTGAAAACAGACATCAGAGAAAACACATACGTAGTGGGAGACTTCAACACACCACTATCAACAATGGATAGATCAACAAGACAAAAAATAAGTAAAGAAACCAAAGCTCTAAATAAGGACCTAGAGCAATTGGGCTTAACAGACATCTATAGAACACTAAACCCCAAAAAAACGGAGTACACTTTTTTCTCAAGCGCACACGGATCATTCTCCAGGATCGATCACATACTGGGGCACAAGACAAACATCAACAGATACACCAAGATTGAAATCATATCAACCATCTTTTCTGACCATGAAGGCATCAAACTAGAAATAAACCATAAAAAGAAGGCAAGGAACTTTCCTACCTCATGGAGATTAAAAACCACACTACTGGAAGACCACTGGACTAATGAGGAGATGAAAGAAGAAATTAAAAAATTTTTTGAATTGAACGACAAGGAGGACACCAATATCCTAAATGTATGGAATGCAGCAAAAGCAGTAATAAGAGGAAAATATATAGCAATAGAAGCTCACATCAAGAAACAAGAAAGAACTCAAAGAAACAACCTAATCTCGAAGCTCAAAGATCTAGAAAAAGAACAACAAAAAAACCCCAAAACCAGTAGAAGAAAAGAAATAATAAAAACCAAAGCAGAAATAAATGAAATTGAAACTAAAAAAATAATCCAAAAGATCAATGAAACCAAGAGCTGGTTCTTTGAAAAAATCAATAAAATAGACAAACCCCTAGCCAGGCTCACAAAGGAAAAAAGGGAGAAAGCACAAATAAACAGGATCATCAATGAAAGAGGAGAAATCACAACGGACACAGCAGAAATCAAAAGAATAATCAGTAACTACTATGAACAGTTATATGGAAACAAGTTTAACAATCTAGAGGAGATGGACAAATTCCTACAACTCTACAATCACCCAAAGCTAGATAAAGAAGAAATAGAACACCTAAACAGACCAATTACAATTAGCGAAATTGAAATGGTAATCAAAAACCTCCCCAAAAACAAAAGCCCAGGACCTGATGGATTTACAAATGAATTCTACCAAACATTCAGAGACGAATTAGTGCCTATCCTTCACAAACTCTTCCAAAAAATTGAGAAGGAAGGGACAAAACCAAACACGTTCTATGAAGCCAACATTACACTAATACCAAAACCGAACAAGGACAACACAAAAAAGGAAAACTACAGGCCAATCTCCCTAATGAACACTGATGTAAAAATCCTCAATAAAATTTTAGCCATCAGAATCCAACAATGTATCGATAAGATAATTCACCACGACCAAGTAGGATTCATTCCAGGGACACAAGGATGGTTTAACATCCGAAAATCAATCAACGTTATCCAACACATCAACAAAAAGAAATATAAAAACCATATGATAATATCAATAGATGCTGAGAAAGCTTTCGACAAAGTGCAACACCCATTCATGATAAAAGCCCTTGAAATTCTTGGGATACAAGGAACATACCTTAACATCATAAAGGCCATCTATGACAAGCCAACAGCCAGTATCATTCTCAATGGTGAAAAGCTGAAAGCAATTCCATTAAGATCTGGAACAAGACAAGGATGTCCACTCTCACCACTGCTTTTCAATATAATACTGGAAGTCCTAGCCAGGGCAATAAGACAAGAGAAAGACATCCAAGGAATCCAAATAGGAAAAGAAGAAGTCAAACTATCACTATTTGCAGACGATATGATATTATACATAGAGAACCCCAAAAACTCCACAGAAAAGCTAATTCAACTCATCAATCAGTTCAGTAAAGTGGCAGGATACAAAATCAACACGCAAAAGTCAGTAGCCTTCCTATACACAAACAATAAATCTGAAGAAGAAGAAATCAAAAAAACCATCCCTTTCGTTATTGAAACAAAAAAAATCAAATATTTGGGAATAAATCTAACAAAAGAGGTAAAGGACCTATACAAAGAAAACTATAAAACACTGTTAAAAGAAATAGAAGAAGACACAAAGAAATGGAGAGATATCCCCTGCTCATGGATTGGAAGAATAAACATTATTAAAATGGCCATCCTTCCAAAAGCAATATACAGATTCAATGCTATTCCAATCAAAATTTCAATGTCATTCTTCAAAGAAATAGAACAATTATTGATGAAATTCATATGGAATCACCAAAAACCCCGAATAGCCAAAGCTCTCCTGAAACAAAAAGAAGGGAATGGAGGCATCACACTCCCAGACTTCAAACTATACTACAAAGCCATAATCATCAAAACTGCATGGTATTGGAACAAGAACAGACATACAGACCAATGGAATCGAATAGAAAATCCAGAAATAAACCCACAGATTTATGGTCAACTAATCTTTGACAAAGGAGCAAAGACTATGCATTGGAGCAAAGAAAGTTTGTTCAATAAATGGTGCTGGGAAAACTGGGTCGCTACATGCAAAAGAATGAAGCTTGACCACTACCTCACACCATACACAAAAATCAACTCAAAATGGATTAAAGAATTAGACATAAGACCTGAAACCATAAAATATATAGAAGGAAATATAGGCGAAACACTACGTGATTTGCACATCAAAGACATCTTTACAGACACATCACCCAAAGCAGTGATAGTGAAGGCGAAGATAAACAGCTGGGACTACATCAAATTAAAGAGCTTCTGCACAGCAAAAGAGACAATAACAAAAACAAAGAGAAACCCCACCAACTGGGAGAACATTTTTGCACCCAACACTAATGATAAAGGACTGATCACAAAAATCTGCAAAGAGCTGATGAGACTCAACAACAACAAAGAAAATAATCCAGTCAAAAAATGGGCAGAAGAGCTAAAAAGAAACTTCTCTGAAGAGGAAATGCAAATGGCCAACAGGCATATGAAAAAATGTTCAACATCACCTGTAATCAGGGAAATGCAAATCAAAACTACCATGAGATACCATCTTACACCAGTGAGAATGGCACATATTAAAAAAACTAGCAACAAATGTTGGCGAGGGTGTGGAGAAAAAGGAACTCTTCTGCACTGTTGGTGGGAGTGCAAACTGGGCCAACCACTGTGGAAAGCTGTGTGGAGATTTCTGGACCTACTAAACATAGAGCTTCCATATGATCCAGCAATTCCACTCCTAGGTATTTACCCAAAGGACACAGAAACATCAATTCCAAAGAGCACCTACACCCCTATGTTTATAGCAGCACTGTTTACAATAGCTAAGCTTTGGAAACAACCCAAATGCCCAAAAATAGATGACTGGATCAAGAAGATGTGGTACATATATACCATGGAATATTACTCAGCATTCAAAAAAGATAAACACATGCAATTTGCAGCAACATGGATGGCGCTGGAAGGGATCATGCTCAGCGAAATAAGCCAAAAAGAAAAAGAAAAATACCGGATGGTCTCACTCATAGCAGGAATCTAGAAAACTTAAATAAGGGACCAGGAAAATGAATAACTATAAGAAAGTGAAAATCAAAATCAACAAAAAACTATGAACCAGAGACACTTTTAGGGGGGCAGGGGCGGGAGGGGAGGGATTGGGGTCAGAATGGGGGCGCTGCAATTGTATGGGGAATATAACAATAAAATTTATTATCTAAAAAAAAAAAAAAAAAAACTTTCAGCCTCAGATTTACTGAATGTTCTTGAGGGCTACAGGTAAAGGAGTCATTCAATTTCTGGAAAGTTATACTTAGACCCTTATGGATTGTAAAATATAGTTAACTTCACTGCTGAACTCTATCATGATTAAGTCTACTGGAGTTTCAAATTTACTCTTATGCCCTCAACCTCTCTCTGCATCTCTCTCTCGGCATATTTCTTCTAAGGATTAAGTCAGAGATTACATCTTAAATTAATCCCCTTGAAGATAGAGTAGAAGTTGAAGTGTGAATAGATGTATGTATTTATGTGTATACATGAAAGTGTATTTGTATAAACATACATACATGCCAAGTATGTTTTCTTTCCATAAACATATTACACTACCATTCTGCAACTTGTTTTTAAACTCAGTATGTCTTAGAGATGCTTCCATGTCAGGACATGAAGATGTGCTATATTCTTTTTAACTGCTATGGTCTGTTTAATAGTATGAAAATACTGTGGTGTATGTATTTAGTTATTCTCTTTGTGGAACTAAATTTGGGCCGTTTTGATTTTTTTACATTATCAATAATACTGCAATAAATATCTGGGTGCATGTCCCATCTTGGTATGCATATTTTTCATTTTATGAGGTAGATACTAAGAAACAGAACATATCCCATCATTTTTCTAACGTATAAGGTACTTAGAACTAACTAGAACTGCAGTTGTTCTCCAAGCGGCAATATCAGTTGATCCACATCACTAAGAAAATATGAGTCTGCTTCCTTACACCCACATACATTTCAATACCATCAAACTATTCCTAATGTAAAAGGGAAAAATGAAACCCTAGTACAGTTTTAATTTGCATTTCTTTTATTTCTGGTAAGGCTGAGCCTCTCTGTATTTCCTATATCACATTTACAATTTTCCCAAAAGTTTCCTAAAAACTTATTTTATCCTTTGTTCATTTCTGTTAGTGCTTTTCTCTCTTCATTGTAGAAGTTATTTATACATTCTGGATAGTGACTGTTTATTATATATTTCAGAAACTTTTTTTCCAAGTTAATCTCTTATCTTAACTTTATGGCATACTAAAGTTTTTTTATATAATGATAATGGTCAAATTTATCAACTTGTTATTTTACATCTTTTGCTTTTATTGTTCTGTGTAAGAAGGCCTTCATTACTCTTAAGAATATAACATCTTCTATATTTTACTCTAACATCGACAGCTTTATGTTTTATACTTAGGTCATTATTCCATCCGCAATTTGTTTTTAATTTTTATTTTTTGATAGGTTTTTTTGGTTTGTTTTCATAAATAATATGAAGAATATGTATTTTCCTTTTCCAAATAGATGGCTAATTTCCCAATGGCATATACTGAAAGCCCTGTCCTTTCCCAACTTCATCATATACTAAATTCTTACTATACATGAGTTATTTTTAGATTCACTATGCTGTTCTACCATTCTCCTTGTTTATTCATAGCCCATATAACTAGTTTTAATTACACTGTGATAATCATTTGACATTAATAGACCAAATATTCCTTCACTGTTCTAGTTCAAAACTATTCATGCACATGAATTCTGCAATGTGAATTCTAGGATAAGCTTATCAGATTTCATTCAGAATCTTATAAGGAAGCTGATTGGGCAATAATTGGTATATATTACTTTGGAGATAGCTGATATCTTTCCAATACTGAGTATGCCTTTCTTACTGTCTATTCAGGTTTCCTCTAAGTACTTCAAAATTTTCATTTTAAAGAACTTCTACATTTTTGCTAGGGTATATTCCTGTATAATTTACATCTTTGTTGCTTTTGAAAATGAAATATTTCTTTTTTTCAGTTAACATTTTCTTACTAGTTCTTACTTGAACAGGAAAATCAGAAAAACTACTGATTATTCTTGTTGAATCCTTGCTAGCTAACCTCTAATGTTACCGTTTGATTCTCTTGAATTATAATTCATAATTCTGTAGAACTTGTTTTGAAAATCAAGTCAAGTTGTAAGAGAAGCCAAGGAAAACAATTTCTACTCACATACAAAATGTAGTTTCAAAGGAAAGGCAGGAAAAAAAGATATGCTGAAATAGGGCATGTCCCTAAGAGAGGGATCAAGACCTCATATAGTTATTCTCCCTACCTAGAGCTTCCTCTTTCTCTGCCAATATTTTAGAAAACATTCATGACAGAAACTGATCCCTTATGCTACGGATAAATGAAAAAATAGGCAGTATATTAACTTACCTCTACACAAAACTTAAAATGAATGCCTTGGGAATCATAAAATGAAATAATTCTATTAGAGAGTGTCACAGTAATGAGAGACCAGTGGACTTCCAGGTGAATTGGAATCAACAGAAGACTCTTTTTAAACAAATCCACCTAAACAAGAAGAGAAAAAGAAATGCAGCCATCACTACAGATTATTTAAACCAACAACAAACAGCAGCTTGCACTGACTTGCCCAAGGTCCTAACACTAGCAAGTGTTGAAGCCAGAATTTGAACCCAGGTCTTAGTTACAAGCCAATGCTTGTAACCAACTAAGCTATAACACACATACACACACACACACACACACACACACACACCTTGAAGATACAGAAAGCATTATTTTACATTTAAGCTGTTTGACCTATGCTTATCAACTGCCTAATATGACTTGTTTTTTTATTTTTATGCTAATTTTCTTATGCACATATTTGATATAGACTACACTCTTACTAGGGAAGAGTCATGGCATTGGAAAACAGCACAGGGCCTCCCAGGTGGCGCAAGGGGTTGAGCACCACACTAGAAGCAATAGCAGCTGCTGCAGCATGAGTTTGATCTCCGGCCGGCCAGGGAGCAACCCACATGGCACAGCAGACCTCTCCTGGCTTGCCCGCTGCTACCCGCAGCAGTGTACTTCAGTCAGTTTGCCTGTTCTGTTCCCTGCTCTGTCTCTGGTGAATACTGTCTCACCCCTCCTCCCCACCCCCCACCTCTGGTCTGTGCCCCAGCTCTTGTATGCATGAATAAATAAATCTTTTTAAAAAATTTAAAAAAATAGAAAACAGCATAATCTATAAATAAGCCTTCCATCTTTCTACAAACTTGGCATAATAGTTAAAATGATGGACGCTGCAGTCAGTCTGGTCAAGTTCAAATTGTAGCTCTTCTACTTCTTGGCCAAATAACTTTGGACATTTTTGTAAAAGCTTCTTTGTGTCTTGAGTTCCTCAATGTAGCAATAGTGACTATCTTATAAAGTTGTGTGTGATAAGAGAATACATATAAAATGCATAAAACCGGCCTTTGTATGAGTAGCTAATGAACCTCACCTATTATCATTAACTTTGCTCTTTGAGATGTCAAAATTGAGAAAAATATCCTTGATAATTACATATCCTTTATATTCTAATACATCCTTTCTATCCTGATACATACCCTTTACAATCTAAAAATAATGCTATTCTACTCAATTGCAGTTGTGTATAAAACAACTAGATGATAAAGCAGTAGGCACTCAACATCTGTAAGAGTGAATGAATTTCTTTTCTCAGGTATTTTCTGAGAATGTTAGTGATTCCTTGGGCTGAAACAATTAAAATCTATTTTAAATTACATCAGATTCTTAGAAACTATTTCTCAAGTTTTCTTTCTTTCTTCCTGTTAGATAATGTCCTGCTAGTAGAACATTACTATCAACAGTATACATGACCTTGAAGCAAAGCACTTAACTAAGCACTTCACTTTTCAGTTTCTGTCTATCCATAAAACCTGGGAAGTTAGGTGGACAGAAGAAAATATTAGACTATAGACAAATGGTCCTCTGCAGCTTAAAAATTCTGAGTATCTAAAACAAGGGATTATTTAAAATACTGTATGAAATGAGACCAAATTTATGTTCTTAGTATATCCTTCCAGATTTTCTTAATATATTAATTTTCACACACTTTATAGGAATTAAGGATAATTCCTATAATTTGTATATGACTAATAACTTGTATATGACAAATTATATTATTGACCCCAATTATTTATCGCACTCCCTATAAAAGAATTATATAATAAGTCTATTGCTCTGTGGCGTCACTGCCCCTCTCAGGTGAAGAAATGTCATCCTGTCATGTGATTTGTTTTAACCAATCAGCTGTAAACAAAAGTGAAGTCATGACAAGCTGAAGTTTCAAGAGCCATCACGTGACCACAAGACTGGCATATCTTGAGATTAGGTACTGCTCCTTTAGTTTGGGTCTCATTAAAAGAAAAAAGAAAAACTTGGCATTATTTCCTTAGATGCAGGAAAATCATTTCATAAAACTCAACATCAATTTATGATTAAAATTCTTAGCAAAGTAGGAATAGTAGAGATAAAGAGCATCTATTTTAAAAAATCTATAAAATAACCTATAAATGACACCATAGAAGTGAGACTGAATACATTCCTCCCAAGGTTGAGAACATGGCAAAGATACCTATCTCATTACTTCTATTCAAAATAGTACTAGAAACCTTGCCATTGTGGTAAGGCTTTTTTTAAAAAAGCATAGATTACAAAGGAAGAACTAAAACTGTCACTCCTTGCAGACATGATTGTCTATAAAAATATTACAGAATAGGGCCTCCCCGGTAGCGCAGTGGTTGAGCGCTGGGTTGTGAAGCTGCCCACAGTCTCTGCAGCGCTGGTTCGATCCCCAGCCACCGGGCGAGGGTCCCACATGGCGTGCGCAGACCTCTCCTACTGCCCACTGCTCCCCTCAGCAGTGTACTTCGGTCCTTCTGCTTGTTCTGCTCTCCCCTCTGGCTCTGGTGAATTCTCTCACCCTCCCCCGCTTCTGACTGTGCCCAGTGCTTGTATAAATAAATAAATAAATCTTTAAAAAAAAAAATATTACACAATAAACAAAAAAGCTCCTAGCACCAGTGAATGAGTTTGGAATGGTCCCATGATATAAGATCAATATAAGGAAATCAACTATTTCTACATTAAGAGCAAGCAAATAATCAAAAAATAGTATTTCAAATTCTGTTTACAGAAGTTTCAGAAATAGGAAATATTTAGGGATACATTTTAAAAATATGTATAAGACCTGTACGCTAGAATTATAAAATATTGCTAGAAAAAGTTAAACATCTAAATAAATGAAAAACATGTTTATAGACTAAAAACAATGTTGTGAAGATGTTAATTCTCCTCAAATGTACACAATAAACACATTCCTAGTCATAATCCAACAGTTTTAAAAAAATATTAACAAGCTGATTATAAAATTTATATGAAAATGCAAAGGACCTAGAACTGCCAAAACAATCTGGATAAAGAAGGATAAATCTGGCCATCTTACACTGGATTTTAAAACACATCATAAAGATACAGTAATCAGGACTGTATGGTATTAGCATAAGAACAAAGAGGTCAATATAGGGGAACAGAAAGTCCAGAAATAGATACATATATATGGTCAACTGACTTTCTGCAAAGGTGCTAAAAGAATTAAGAAGGAAAAGAAAAATCTTTTTAACAAATAACATCAACATCGGAACAACTGAATATCTATATGGGGGGAGAACCATGATTCTTACTCGTGTAAATTTGAGATATATCTATAGCAGAGATATAAACATGAAACCTAAATCTATAAAAGTATCAGAAGAATAATACCTAATAAAATGATTTTTAGATTGGATATAAAAAGCAAAAACTGCAAAAGAAAAAAATAAGTTAGATTTCATCCAAATAAATAATGCCAATTCATCCAGTGACATGGTTAAGAAAAAAAATAGAAAAATGAGACTGAGATTAGATAATAACAAAATATAGCTTTGACAAATGATTTATAACCAGGACAACTTAGTAATAATACTTTCTTTACTACAAGCCATCCATTCATATTATTCACTCACTTTTCTACTGGGTTGGTGGGGTCTTTTTCTTGATTTGCAGTTACCTTTTATACTAGGAAAATTAGTTCTGTGGTATTATTTGCAAATATTTTCCCCACTTTTCCACTTGTCTTAATTTTTAACATCACTCCTATTTTTAGGTTTGTTTTTTAAAGATTTATTTACTTATGCATACAAGAGCTGGGGTACAGGCCAGAGATGTGGGGGGGTGAGAGGATTCACCAGAGATAGAGCGGGGAACAGAACAGGCAGACTGACTGAAATACACTGCTGAGGGGAGCAGCGGGCGAGATAGGAGTGGTCTGCTGCGCCATGTGGGTTGCTCCCTGGCTGGCCGGGGATCGAACTCATGCTGCAGAGGCTGCAGATTGCTTCATAGTGCGGTGCTTAACCCCTTGCGCCACCAGGGAGGCCTGGTTTTTCTTTTTATATAATTGAATTAATTCATTTTTCTTTTAAAGCATCTGAAATTTAACTTGTATAATGAAAGGCCTTCACTATTTTGATATTTTTTTAAGTTCCCTTATGGATTCTCTCAATACTTTCATTGTTTCTCTTTTGTTGCATTCAAATCCTCAGCCATGTTGTAATCTTAATGTAATCTAACACACTGAATATAGATCTTCCTCAACTACAGTGGGGTCCCAATAAACCCACTGAAAGTTTAAAGTTATCATAAACAGAAAATGCATTTAATACACCTAACCTACCAAACATCAAAACTTAGCCTGGCCTACTCTAAACATGCTCAGAATACTTATATTAGCATACAGTTGGGCAAAATCATCTAACACAAAGCCTGTTTCATAATAAAGTGTGACTATCTCATGTAATTTATTGAATACTATACTGAAAGTGAAAAATACTGTGGCATATCAGTTATTTACCCTTATGATCTCTTGTGTCACTGGGAATTGCAGCTGACGGCCCCTGCCCAGAAGCACAGGAGAGGATCATACTGCACGTCACTTGCCCAGGAAAAGATGAAAATTCAAAGTATAGTTTCTTCTAAATGTTTATCACTTTCCCACTATCCAATGGTCAGTTGAACCATTATAAGTTTGGGATTGTCTAGACTTCTCTTTTTCATTTTTTCTCTAACTATAAAGTTATTTGATTATTAATTCTGGGCCTCCCCAGTGGCGCAGCGGGTTGAGCGTAGCGCTGTGAAGCTGTCCGCAGCCTCTGCAGCACGGGTTCGATTCTCAGCCGGTGAGGGAGAAACCCACATGGCCCAGCAGACCTCTCCTGCCTCACCCATTGCTCCCCTCAGCAGTGTCTTCGGTCCATCTGCCTGTTCTGCTCCCCGCTCTGTCTCTGGTGAATTCTCTCACCCTCCCACACCTCTGGTCTATACCACAGTTCTTCTATAAATAAATAAATGAATCTTAAAAAAAAAAAAAAGATTATTCTTCCTCCAAATACCTTTCATTATGTTCCATAGTGGTTGGTAAAATACGTTCCTCTTTTCAACCATTTCTAGACAGTTTGTATATAATTTTCCTTCCATTCGTAGATAGTTTGTAGACAATTTCCTTTTTCAATTTCTTAGATACAAGGGTTATATCTATTATAACATTATGTTGTATCTGCACATTTTTCAATTTTTTTTATTTTTTTTAGTCAACTTTTGTCATTTAATTTGAATTGTGATCAAGGAATAATGTATGTAATCTTTTTCTTTGTGGCCAACTACATAGTACACTTTTACAAATGTTTCTTGGACATAGGAATAAATGTATGTACTCTTTTAGAAAGACATAAAGATGTAATATATGACTATTAAATCAATTGTAGTGGTGTATTATATATTTTTATTTATACTTTTATTCTATACTAGATTTGTCCAACTATGAGAGGATTTCCATTCTCACCATTTTATCAATGTCTCCTTGCTTCTATAATCATTGTTATCTTCTATGTATTAAGATTTTATCACAGTTTGCTTTTCACCTTAAATTCTAACTCATTTGCTCTTAATTTTGCTTTTTCTTCATTGGCTTGCATTTATCTAGTACCTTTTCAACTGTCACTTTATTTTCAATGTTTCCTTTTCATATTTTATATTTATTTCTTATATACAGCATACAGCTGTGACTTAGCCCAATCTGAGATAATAGAGAGGCTGTTATGATTTAATTTATTTCATTTAATGAAATTACTCATGAACTTCACACTCTTATTATTCACATATTTTTCTATGAATGAAATGCATATTTTTTCATGCTATTTATAACCTTTCTCTGTTCCACATTATGATCCTCTTTCCTCATCTACATAACTTTTGTGATTTAAGTACTGTCCTACTTATTATATGGATATAAATTTTTTTTTAAGATTTATTTATGTATACATACAAGAACTGGGGTACAGGCCAGAGGCATGGAGGGTGAGAGGACTCACCAGAGACAGAGTGGGGAATAGAATAGGCAGATTGACCGAAGCACACTGCTGAGGGAAGCAGCAGGCGAGTCAGGAGAGGTCTGCTGCACCATGTGGGTTGCTCCCTGGCTGGGGATCGAACTCATGCTTCAGTGGTTGCGGAGAGCTCCATAGGTTGCATCCCAACCCCCTGTGCCACCAGGTAGGCCCGTGGATATAAATTTTTAATCTGAGCATTCCCTACTAATTAGCTATCCTCAATTTTCTAAAATGAACACCACCATAGCCTATCTCGTGGTACAAGCCACACACTTGCATTTCATCCTTTCCGCTTTCTTCTCCTTCATCCCCATAAGCAACCCATCTCCACGTTCTGTTAACTTTACTGTCTCTGTACTTTACTGTGACAAGTACACACTCATATTTGTGTACTTATCCCATCTCTTCTTTTACCATTCTAGTCCAAAATAGCAGCAATTTGCACTGGCTTCCTGTTCTACCCACATCAACTCTGCTGCCACACCTATTCACTATCTTCAGTGTTGCTATAGCAAAGATGACATACTGGATCATGTCACCTAAAATCCTTCAACAGATGCTTTGCATTTAAGATAAAATTCAAATCATAGACCTAAAGGCCCAACATTTTAAAATCAGGTCTACTTCATATCAATCTTTTCTTTTCTCTCTGCATTCCAGCTACACTAGCCTTCTCCCATCCTTCTACAATTATAATGAGTATCACTTACTGTGTGTTTACCATGTGACTTAATGAGATAATACTTCTCAACCCTTACAACAAGGTATACTGATATTCCTATTTTACAGAAATTCAGTCTTAGGGGCCTCCCCGCTGGCACAGCGGTTGAGCACTGGGCTGCGAAGCTGCCAGCAGCCTCTGCAGCGCAGGGTTCGGTTCCCAGCCGTCAGGTGAGGGTCCCCCATGGCGCACAGACCTCTCCTGCTGCCCACTATTCCCCTCAGCAGTGTATTTCATCGGTCTACCTGTTCTGCTCCCTGATCTGGCTCTGGTGAATTCTCTTACCCTCCCGTGCTTCTGACTGTACCCAGTGCTTGTATAAATAAATCAATCAATCTTAAAAAAAAAAAAAAAAAGTTCAGTCTTAGGCTAAACTAGGCTCTGTCCCCTGGCTGATTCCTGAGTTCATTAGTTCTATTTCCCTGATTTGCCCTCTGCAACCACATTTCATTCATCTTGGCACTACTGATGATGCCTTGCACATATTACCTAAATAGCAATGTGGAGTCAGGTGACTGTAACTTGGAAGTTATTTCCATCCATAACTACTAAGGAGTTACTCTTAATTTCTCCAACCCATATAAAAAGTGAAAAGTTACATATCTGTAGACCTATAATGAGGGACGTTGAACTTGCTGGTAATTTTGTCAAAATATTAAAAGTAGAATATAAATGGGCTTTTAAAATATTTCTGACATAGTCAATGAATATAGAGAGAAATTAAGGTTGGAAGGATCCTTAGGGATTACTCTGATTATATGCTGTTTTATAAATAAGCAATCTAAAGCCCAGACAAACTGTCTTATCCAAGTTGCATAGCAAGCCAACAGCTATGCTAGAACCACTGATAGACTCTGGGTAGATTAAAGAGTTTCTTTAGTGTTTGCCTTTCAAATAGTTAAGATTTAAAAGAAACAAAAAACAGGGACTCCCTGGTGGTGCAAGGGGTTAAGCACTGCACTATGAAGCAATCCGCAGCCTCTGCAGCATGAATTCGATCCCCGGCCGGCCAGACAGCAACCGACATGGTGCAGCAGACCTCTCCTGTCTTGCCCGCTGCTTCCCTCAGCAGTGTATTGCAGTCAGTCTGCCCCACTTTGTCTCTGGTGAATCCTCTCACCACCACCCCCCACATCTCTGGCCTGTACCCCAGCTCTTGTATGCATAAATCAATCAATCCTTAAAAAAAAAACAAAAACAAAAACAACTGTTTCTAATTAACATCATGTTAGCACTAAAGTTCTTATCTTTCAACCCAAATTGGCTTATGACCTGCATTTCAAATTTAGAATAAAAAGGAAATAAAGAGAATACCTTTTTAGTCCATCTTTTTACTCCATTATATCCTTTGGTTACCAGCTGTCTATGAAAAAAGCTGTTGAAGAAGTGAACCTAGAAGAGATATTTGTGATTTTAAGTGGAAAGTAGTAAAAGATAAGCATCCAGATTATAATAGGCTATACTCAGATTTAATTTCAGAAGAAAATGGAAATTTGATAATACTTGATCGATAAAAGGTGAGGAAAAGTTTCTTCTTAAAAATAATGATCAAAATATAGACAATACATGGTTCACAGAAGATTCTGGTTCTAAATTTTTATTACAATGACCTTACAGCTATGATCCATAATCAGAAGCAATGTGACAAAACTCTCCAAATCAGGTGATAAACTTGAAAGAGGCTATGAAAGAATGAAGTACTGATTACCCAGAACACTAGGGACAAAGATTACAAAACTAGCCCATCTGAAGAATGTGGAGCTGGAGACTTCTGTTGTTACAACCACCACAAAAAGGCCTTAGCATGATCATTTCTGGCACAGAAAGAATTATGCTGGCATATCAGCATCGAGCCCTGTGTTCTCAGTTTCAAATCTCTGGCTTATAAATTAGTTTTAGCACATATGAGATAATAAAAACATATTGTGGCCTTAAAATGTTCTCTTAGTTACTCCTACTCACTTGAGATGATAAAACTGTTTCCTTAGAGTGGAGGTTCTCAGATGTGGTCACCAGAACAGCAGTATTGGAATCACTTGAGAACTGGTTATAATGCAAATTATCAGGGTCCACCCCAAACCAACTAAGGGAGAAACTCTGAGGGTGGTGTCTAGCAATCTAGTTTTATAAACCGTCCAGATGATTTTTGATGTAAGTTTGTTTTGAGAACCATGCAGCTTAAGATATGGATAAAAAGTAGATTTCTCTGGTGTAGTGAATCTCATACTTTGCACAAGAACACAGATTGCTGGGCCCCACTTCAGTTTCTGATTCTTTATGTCTAGTTTGGAGTATAGAAATATGCCTAGTGGACCTCCCTGGTGGTGTAGGGGTTAAGTCTCAGCACGCTATCACCTCACCACTGAGGCCTGAGTTTGCTGAGTTCCATCCCTGGCCAGGGAGCTAAGCCATATATGGGCACAGCAAACCTCCTGTCTCACCCACTGCTCCCCTTAGCAGTATATTTCGGTAGAACCGGCTGTTCTCTGCACTTTGTCTCTGGAGAATTCTCTCACCAACTGCACCTCTGGCCTAAACCCTTCGATGCATAAAGAAAGAAATAAATCTTTTTTTTTTTAAATTAAATAGTAATTTGCCTAGCAATTTCCCAGATGACACTGCTGGTGCTAATCTAGGGACTATACTTTGAGAAACACTGCCTTAATAAGTGTCCTTTCAATACAGTGAATGTTTACAGTTCAATGTAGAGGTAATTAAGGTAAATTAAATTCTTAAGACTAATACTTTCATCTTAAAAATCATCTGTAAATTGTTTAGATGAAAACTTTCTAAATGGTTAGGAAAATCTGTCATAATAGAGAATCTGAAAGATTAGCCTCATGATTCCAATTTAAATGCATAACAGATTTATGATGTTATATGGAAAGCAATAAGATAATTTGCCTATATTCATAAATAATACTGGAATCTGAGATTTATTATATGTACCTGTTTAATTTATTCAATTTATAAAAGTTTACATAGTACCTGGAAAAGTTTTGCTTTGTGAAACCAAAAGCTTCCTATAAAGCATTTGAGTAATGAGGTTCGTGCCCACCCAAGGACGCCAAAAAAAAAAAATAAAATAAATAAAATAATATAAAGCATTTGAGTAATCAGAAAGAAAAATTAATGTATTAAAGAGTAGTTTTAATATGAAACTAAACTCTTTTTTTTCAAGATTTATTTATTCATGCATACAAGAATCAGGGTACAGGTCAGATATGCGGGAGGGTGAGAGGATTCACCAGAGACAGAGTGGGGAACAGTACAGGCAGACTGATGGAAGTACACTGCTGAGGGGAGCAGCAGACGAGACCGGAGAGGTCTGCCGCGCCATGTGGGTATATCGTCAGCCAGCTGGGATTGAACCCGCATTGCAGAGACTATGGACAGCGTCACAGTGCTGTGCTCAACTGCCTGCACCACCAGGGGAGGCCCTGAAACTAAACTCTTAAGGGAATCTAAGCATTTAAGGCAAGTTAGTTTGTATTTGAATTGAGAACAAAGATTAATCCAAGAAAAAGTAAAGATAAATACTGCTTTACTATATTTTGAAAGAGAGTAAGACTAAGTTAAATTTAAAATGCATCTCTCCACTAAAAAAAAAAAAAACCCTTTTCAAGAAGATATGCTTCAATAAGCAATATGCACTCTGAAACAAATAAGCAGAAAAACACTATGATGACTTTCTTAAACAGAAATGATTTTATAAAATTTATCTGCAAGGGCCTCCCTGGTGGCATAGGGGTTTAGTCTCAGCGCCACCACCACTGTGGCCTGAGTTCAATCCCTGGCCAGGGAGCTAACCCACATGGTGTAGCAGACCTCTCCTGTCTCGCCTGCTGCTCCTTTTAGCAGTGTATTTCAGTAGAGCCACCTGTTCTGCTCCCCACTCTGTTTCTGGTGAATCCTCTTACCCCCTGCACCTCTGGCCTACACACCAGTTCTTCTATGCATGAATAAATAAGTAAATCTTTAAAAAAATAAAACTTATCTCCAAACCTAGCACATGATCAAGACAAGATCTAACACTTGGAAAAAACCTAAGAGTATTAAGATGAGAACATAAAGTTTTCAAAAAAGTAATTTCTCCTTCTAATACACAAGGAGTCTCTCTCCTGAAGAAGAGTAAGTTTTCACTTACTTTGTCTGGGACTGCATCCATTATCAGCTCACCGTACATATTAATGACCTATAAAAAGTCAACATAAAACCAGCTTACTAACCCTATATAATTCAGAACGTTCCACTCAGAATGAATAACATACTGATACTGCAAACAGTAATCAAACCTCTTGGATACTGGAGTTAGTGAATGAGTCACTACAGTAAGGAATAAAGAATCCTTGATTCTAAAAGGTAACTGTAAGGCCAAACCTTGAGGTTATCAATTACATTTACTCTCCAACATCCTCTGCAATTTTTTTTTCTCTGTAACTTTTCCACACCAAGACCATGCAATATACTAACCTGATCATTTAGCCAGTTCTGACCATCCAAGGTTGCCAGATCATCCATATCCAGCATATGCTTATTGTAAAAGACGCGGAAGTTACATTTTTGATGTCTGGCCCGATAGTTCGTTATTTCCCTATTGATAAATGGTTTTCTGAAATAGAAAAATTTTGGAAAAGGTGAAAAAAATGACTTCTACTCAATTTATTGCTAACTTTTTCAAATCAAGATAAAATTCATACACCAACAATTTTATTTTCAAAGGTTTAACTTAAGCATCATTGACAGACCTATTAGAAAAGTCTTCATTAAAGACATCTTTTAATCTTCCAAGTACATCTTTTTCACTGAGAGGGACCAAACTGCCATACTTCTTCATAACCTCATCTAGGAATCCTTAAATAAAGGAAGAAAAAAATTAAGATGGAAAAAGCAAATCATTTTCAGCAGTCATTAAATATAGGTTAGGTATGTGTTAAGTATTATGTATAGGTTAAGAATTGGGAGAAAATTGATTTTTCATTTATGGTAGTTATATTCATGATACTAAATAACCCAATGAAGTGAGCTTGGTTGTATAGCAGCTGATGAGGCGTATTTTCAGAGGAGAAACAAAGAGTGATTTCTTGGCCAGTACATGGGATAGTCTTCAGATCAATCTAAGGAATAAGCATATACATTTTTAATGGCTTCCAAGGGGGCCCACTAAAGAAACATACCTAAAAAGGCCTAAGAAATAAAACCAGGACATTATTTCTAAGTAAATACAAAGAAGCTGGCGGGGGGGTGGGGTGCACATGGAAGGAGGATCACAGGCTCACAAAAGTGCAGGCATGAATTAAGCTATTCACTAATGCTCACTGGCCTGGCTAATCATCAGTCTGACAGTTAAGTCTACTGAGTGAAAATGGAAAAATGAGAACAGTTAGCCACTTATTTTACCCAGCTCCCTTTCTAACTTCAAGAATGGTCTCTGCTATGAATCAATACAAAATAGACAGAAAAAGGATCACAACAGAGTAACTGTTCTGGGAATGGAGTATTTTGTTTTGTATGGGGCAGGGGCAGCAAAGGTGCAAAAAACCTTTTTCCTCTGCTAGTCTTCTACAAAAGTGGCTTCCAATTTGGTAAGCAAAGGTAAGGGCACAGCTTGCTTAAGCCTGGTTCTATTCTAGGTTTTAGGCATGCAAAAGATAGAAGGGGGCCTCTCCTGGTGGCGCAGCAGTTGAGCACTGGGCTGCGAAGCTGTGTGCAGCCTCTGCAGCTCCAGTTCACTTCCCGGGCCGTTGGCGAGGGTCCCACATGGTGTGCAGACCTCTCCTGCCACCCACTGCTCCCCTCAGCAGCGTATTTCGTCAGTCTCAGTCTGCCTGTTCTGTTCCCTGCTCTGGCTCTGGTGAATTCTCTCACCCTCCGGTGCTTCTGATTGTACCCAGTGCTTGTATAAATAAATAAATCTTTAAAAAAAAAAAAAAGATAGAAGGGTAGTCCCATGTTCCAGTTTAATCAGAGAAGGGGATTATGAATCGGGGCTTCTAACTTAGGAATAGAGTATATGTTTGCCTCTGGTGTTTACTATATCAGTATTACAGTTATCTAAGCATAGACTTGTGTCTGCATGGGAGAATGAACCCAAACAAAACGTAATACCAACATGTGAGAAATAGCATTTAAGAAACAAACGTTGTACAAAAATAATGTCCCTAATAACAAAAGATTAAACTTTAGGTAGAGCAACCTTGAGACTATTCAAATAACAAAGTAGTGTACTCTTAACAAGTGATATGTACCCTTATCCCAAACTATTATCACTGGAAAGAGGTACCTCATTAACAGTGTTACATTTGGAAGTTAATATTTTGGAGATTTTATTATATTTTTTCCCTCTTATCAGCATTTTTCTTTTCATTTTCAGATGATAAACATGGATTCCTAATACAGTAGAAAGCCCCCACCTGGATCTTGAAGGAGAACTCTAGATGACAATGTCTCACCCATGCATACCATCATCTCACTGGGACTATAAATGAAATGACAGTTAAATAGCTCTTGTCATAAATCAAGCACTAACATATCTCATTTCTTCCTTATAACCACTCTATGTGTTAAAGACTATCCCCACTTTACAAAGGGAAACAGGAAGTCTAGGGAAGTAAAGTAACAGGAAGTAAAGACAGTTAGCAACTAAGAGTCTAGTGGTAGGTCATATGACTACAGTTAACTATTCTGCGCCACCTCCAAATCAAAAAATTCCTATTATTTTTTCATTACAAAAGCAACTTGGTTCTTCACCTTTCCCTTTTAATAATTAAGGGTAGGACCAAAAATTACTCAGAAAACAGACTTCACTTAAAGTGAAAACTAAATCCATTATTCTTTACCCACCAGCTTTCACCAAACTAATGAACCAAAGGAAAAATGCACTTGGAATACATAATTTCTTTTACTCCAAAAGTACTATAATTTCAATGGGGCCAAGAAAACAAAGCATAACTTAGGAAAAAACAGGGCCTCCCTAGTGGCACAAGGGGTTAAGTCACAACCTATGAAGCAATCCACAGCCACTGCAGCACAAGTTCGATCCCCTGACCAGCCAGGGAGCAACCCACATGGTGCAGTAGACCTCTCCTGACTCGCCTGCTGCTCCCCTCAGCAGTGTATTTCAGTCAATCTGCCTGTTCTGTTCCCCCACTCTGTCTCTGGTGAATCCCCTCACCATCCACACCTCTGGCCTGTACCCCAGTTCTCGTATGCATAAATAAATAAATCTTTAAAAAAATACGTTAGGAAAAAAACAAAACCAAAACCCCAGAGTCCAAATTACAGTCCATGCTGGAAGTATAAAAGGTAATAATGAAAAAAAAAGAACCTGAGGTGTTATCTTAGAAGTTACTCATCATGCTAAATCAATTACATTGGACAGTTTTTTCTTTAAATTACTGAATCCACTCTGAATATGGAATGGGGTCCATTGTGTATGCACATAAGAAATGCAACCACTTGGTCCTCCAACAAAATACAACACAGATGTCAGCAAGGTCCCATCAAAAATAAGGAAGGGGCTTTAAACCTACATACATGATAATTAACTTATAGCAAAGGAGGTGAGAATATAAAGAAGATGATAGTCTTTTCAATAAATGGTGATAGGAAAATGGAGGTGTGAACCTGTTACCTCTGAATCATATACACTGTTGTACACCAATGCTACCTCAACAAAAAAATACAGTAAGAATGAAATTGGACTACTACCTTACAAAGTATATAAAAATTAACTCAAAATGGATTAAAGACTTGAATGTAAGATTCAAAATGATATAACCCCTAGAATAAAACACAGGCAGTAAGCTACCTGACGTTGGTTTTGGTGATTTTTTTTTGAATCTGACATCAAAAGCAAAAGGCAACAAAAGCAAAAATAAACAAATAGGATTGCATCAACTAAAGCTTCTGCACACCAAAGGAAACCATCAGCAAAGTGAAACAGCAACCTAGTGAGTGGGAGAAAATATTTGCAAATTATGTATTTGGTAATGTGGTAAAGAGCCAAAATACATAAACTCCAGCAAAAAAAAAAAAGTCCAATTAAAACTGGAAGAAGAGCTGAATAAACATTTTCCTAAAGAAGATTTGCAGATATCCAAAAGGTGCTCAACATCACTAATCATTACCAGTGAAATGCAAATCAAAACCACAATAAGATAATTATAATCAAAAAGATAAAAAAGAAATCCATTGTGCACTATTGGTGAAAATGCAAATTGGTACATTTTGAAAAATGCAATTTGGGAAACAGTATGGAGGTTCCTCAAAAAATTAAAAATAGAATTACCGTATGTTCCAGCAGTTCTACTTCTGGATATTTATCTGAAGAAAACAAAAACACTGACTCGAAAAAATCTATTCATACTTAAAAAAAAAAAAAAAAATCTGTTCATACTTATGTTAACTGCTGCAATACTTGCAACAGTCAAGAGAGGGAAATAACTTACACCCCCATCCTCCCACACACACCAAACACACACACAATGGAATATTGGTCATAAAAATGAATGAAATCTTGCCATTTGCAATAATATGGATGGACCTTGGGATTATTATGCTAAGAAAAAGATAAATACCACATGATCTGACTTAAACATGGAATCTTAAAAAAAAAAAACCCTTCAAGGGGCCTCCCTGGTGGCGCAGCGGTTAAGCGCAGGGTTGCGAAGCTGCCGCGGCCTCTGCAGCGCCCGGTTCGATCCCCCGCTGCTCTCCGGCCACCGGAGGAGGGTCCCAATGGCGCACAGACCTCTCCTGCCGCCTGCTGCTCCCCTCAGCAGTGTACTTCGGTTGTACTTCGGTCCTTCTGCCTGCTCTGCTCCCCGCTCTGGCTCTGGTGAATTCTCTCACCCTCCTGCGCTTCTGACTGTACCCAGTGCTTGTATAAATAAATAAATCAATCTTTAAAAAAAAAAAACAAAACCTTGAAGCTCATAAATTGAGACTAGATTGGTGGTTGACAGAGGTGGGAGTAGAGAATGGGCATAATGGGGAAGGTGATTCAAAGATACAAACTTCCAATTATAAAAATAAGTAAATTATGGGGAAGTAAAACACAGTATGGTGACTGTCCTTAACACTGAATTGCTTATTTGAAAGGTGCTAACAGTATAGACCACCAAAATAAAGTGAATATTGCAATAAAGCAAATTACAGGATTTTTTGGTTTCCCCAGTACATATGAAACTTATGTTTTCAGTCTACTGTGATCTATTAAATGTGGACTAGCATTACATTTTTTTAAAGTACAAGTGGTTGAGTCTCAACACTATGAAGCTACTGGCAGCCACTGCAGCACGAGTTCAATTCCTGCCAGGTCACTGTCCCACATGGCGCAGTAGAATTCTCCTGTCTCCACAGCTGCTGCCCTCAGCAGTTTATTTCAGTAGATCTGCCTGTTCTGCTCCTCACTCTGTCTCTGGTGAATCCTCTCACACACACACTCCCCACCTCTGGCCTACACCCCAGTTCTAGTATAAATATTTAAAAAAAAACTTTGTTGCTAAAATAAGCTAACCACCATCTGAGCTGTTGAAAAAATGATACTAACAGACTTGCTCAACACAGGATTGCCACAAACCTTTAATTTGTAAAAAAGTGTGATTATCTGAGCACAATAAAGCAAAACACAATAAACTAGACATACCTATAGATCTTAAAAGCTCTCATCACAAGAAAAAATGTTTTGTTACTAGGTATACTTATTGTGGTGATCATTTTACAATGTATGCAAATATTAAATCTATGTTGCACAACTGGAATTAATACATAGCTGGATGTCAACTATACCACAATAAAAATATATAAAAATGAAAGCACTTGTGAAAGTATCTTTGCAGAAATGTTTCACT